TCTGCCTCATGCTGATATATTTTGGATAAGGGTGTACTCTGTACAGGAGAGGTTACTATGAGTTTTGTGTTCTTTAGCGTCTTAAAGGTGGAAACCAATTGTAACCAATTTAACTCATTTTAGATGACCTTTTTGCCTTAACTCATATTTGCAAGTGACAAGTTTGAAAACAAAACAAGATCGGTGCAGAGAAGCCATATGATATATTGGGTGAAAAAAAAAGTTAATAAAGATTAAACTTGTTTCAAGAGCTATTGAATTTTCAATTCTTCAGTGTACTCCTAACTTTTAAGAACATGAAGTATTAGCTTAACATAGTTTTCTCTGTTGGTTTCTTGCTCAAGTTTGTGTTGTTTTCCTTTGTTAAAATTAGAGATTTCTTTTTATTTTCCAGTTACAGTAATACTAGCTGTTAGTTTAAACCCTCTGTAATAGGACATGGAAACAGACACATAAGGACGTTAGCTGAAAAAACAGACCAAAAATTGACGATTTTTTACTCCCCCTAATTTCAATCAATCTTTTTCAAAAGTGTACAAAATTCAGTCATTGGATTTATGCAGTGCCATGTCTGTCTAAACTCTAATAGTTCCTTTGTATCATATTCTTCAGAGCGAACATCTGTCCGCAAAGCAGTGCTTTTCACCTCGTTTTACAGAGTACTGAAAAACTTTTAGCAAATTCACAGATTAGGTTGAGTTTCAAAATACATGTAGTTTAAAAAGTTCTGATTTCCAAATATAATACATTTAAGTATATATTTTAGGAGTTACCAATAAGTTCCATCACAGCAGAGTAGGATATATGGTAACATTAATTTTCTGTCATTTTAAATGAGATATATTTTTTATTGGGGAAATTAAAGTACCTATACTTATATATTTTTCCTTATTAACAAAGTATTAATCTTCTAAAAAATAACCCAGCAGTAAATAATAAATTACTGAATGAGAGGATAATGAATCTGAATCGTAGCAGGAATTTGCAATATTAATTATGGTTAGCTATTTTTCTCTCATTGATTTTCGTGCCACTCGAATGGAACAGAAGTGTGCCTTTTGTTTTGGAAGGTCTGGGGTAAAATGCTGTGACTGTTTTCCTTCAATTGCATGTGTGTTGCCTGTGACTGTTTCCAAACACTAGAGGGGGCCTCTGATTTAAGATACGAAGAGAAAATAGGAATTAAAAAAAAAAACTGTTTGGAGTGAGCACAGTAAAAAAAAAAGAAAGAAACAAGTTGCTTGGAGTATAATTTGGAGGTACATAGACCCTGAAATGCAGGGGTACTTGGCAGTTTGGGTTTTTTGCCTTTTTAATACAGCTCCCTGCGGAGCAGGGCTAACTCAGGCAGTGTACCCTGCGTGGGCATGCTTGGCAGTGACTGACCTCGGTTCTACTTCCCCCTCTAGTAAAACATGCTTCAGGAAGCAGACACAATAAGGCCTTGTGATCACTTTCTCTTTTGTTTGCAGGCATAAGTAAACTGAGTGGAAGGGAATGTTTTTTACCAATTTGACCTTTGAGGAGAACTTGAATATAATTAAACTATGAATTTTTCTTTCTCATGAAAAACAGAATGTTGTGCTCATTTAGTGAATTTTATGGGGCTCCTGGTAGATGTGTCTGAGAATGACATCGTTTGTTAAAATAAAGGGTATCGTTAGGGTCACCAAAGAATGACATGAGTATGGTCGGGCATGGTGGTTCCAGCCTGTAATCCCAGCACTTTGGGAGGCTGAGGCAGGTGGATCACCTGAGGTCGGGAGTTCGAGACCAGCCTGGCCAATGTGGGGAAACCCTGTCTCTACTAAAAATACAAGAATTATCCTGGAGTGGTCGTCCATGCCTGTAATCCCAGCTACTAGGGAGACTGAGGCAGAAGACACGCTGGAACCTGAGAGGCAGAGGTTGCAGTGAGCTGAGATTGTACCACTGCATTCCAGCCTGGGCAATAGAGTGAGACTCCGTCTAAAAAAAAAAAAAAAATACAAGTGTCTCTTGTTAGAAATGTTTCAGAACAAACTGTAAGTATAAAAAAGGGTATGTAAGAATACTGGGACAGTAAAATAATGTATGAATTTTTTCCTTATATAACTGAATGCATGGGGTCAATGGCTTTTACTTAGCATTCATTCATTCATAAGGCTTTAGCTGGAAAAGACTTAGTCTTGTGGGGTGAATCCGCATGGCATGAAACAATGGAGGAGATGAGATAATGATGTGTATACTTTTTTTTTCTTTTTTTTTGAGATGGAGTCTCACTCTGTTACCAGGCTGGAGTGCAGTGGCATTATCTTGACTCACTCCAACTTCTGCCTCCTGGGTTCCAGTGATTCTCCTGCCCCAGCCTCCTGAGTAGCTAGGACTACAGGCACCCACCACTACACCTGGCTAAATTTTTTTGTATTTTCAGTAGAGACGGGGTTTCACCATGTTGGCCAGGATGGTCTGCGTCTGGCAAAGTGTGAATTTCTATTTGGTTATCACATATTTGACAATCTCTAATCACTAATGTTGCATGCACACAACGACTTTGAAAATTACAGTCACTGTTATTTATGTTTATAATCAAATCTTTGGATTTTGATTATAAAATCAGTTGGATTTTTCAGATGAGAATTTTATTGATACCACTAAAATGTAAACCTGCTTCATTAATGATCCATATTTTGGCTGCAAGCTGAACTTACTTGATACTTTTTGATAGTAAGCAATTTTTGATACCTTAATTAAACTGCTTTGATTAAAGCTTTGATGAAGTTTTCCATATCAGTCATACAACTCCCTATGTTGTTGTGTATGTATTCTGAGTACACACTGAATCTATGAGGATGGATTTATTTCCGGTCTGGCCAACTCTGAAAGACACACATAGGGGACTCGGAACTTTACGGCACAGGTATTGATGCATCTACTCTCTTCGTCCAGTCATACTTAGGATGCTTAATTTTCCTGATACTGTGCATGCAAATCACTTACTTTTGATAGAATTTACTATTCATCACTGCTATTTGTCCACTCTACCATTAAATAATGCAACCTTTTAAACCTTTTAAATAATGCCCAACTTTTAAACTTTGTTGGGACACTTTGGGTGCCTTTTCCGAATTTTAAGGTCAAGTGAGGAGGCTTCAGAAGGGTATTTGCTGGGATTGCATGGACCCTCCCCATGAAAAGGTGAGCTTCGCTTGTCTGCTTGCTGTCCTTCCCTTAAAAGCACTCCCTCTCTCTTACAACAGCAACAGGGAAATTACAGCTGGAATTCTTCACAGCTATTATTTCAGGGTATCAACTAAACAGCTGTTTATATTCCGGGTGGAAATATAACATGGGCCATGAAAGAAATGACTGAATTTGAACAAAAATAATGAATCTCCAGGTAATGTGAAGACATTTTGAAAAACTTGAGGATCCATGGTCTATAAACGTCTTAATTCTCACAAAAATTCAAAGATGAAGACCCAAAGACATCACGAGGAAAACTGAGTTGAAGGGATCAAATTTGTAAGTTGAACTTGCAGGATCACAAGAACATAAAATTAAGCAAATGAATAACTCCTTCCCAAAGACATTATCATCTGTGTCTTCCTTTTGGTACTATTTGGATTATCCACCGGCGCTTACCCCCATCACATACACCAGTCAAACTTTTATACACACCTCCCCACAATTTATGACACTTTGTTTAAAAAACTTTATCCGCAGACGGCGTGAACACTGAGAGAGCAATGTGGAGAGCCAAATGTACAGACAGAAGGCAGATGTTCTCACGAGGGACAGGCGGCTGTGGCTGATGGCAGAGGGCAGGAGAAAGACTGGGAGGTCCTCCCTGACACTTGTAGCTTCAGCAAGTGCAGAAAGAGCTCCTGCAACACTGTAACAGTTCTGACTTTAGAACCCAGGGTAGATGATGATTTCATGTATTTTTGAATCAAAATTTTCAGTTTCAAATTTTGAAATAGAACATACTCACAGCAGAACTTCCGATATGGGAGAATTCCTGGTTGGGAAAGGCTTACTCTATTGCCAACTTTAAGGAAGATCAAGAAATAAAAAGACCTGTTTGATATCCGTACAGAAGCATGCCCAGGTACACAATTCCCACTGCCATCAATGTTGCTCATTTTCAAGTCCATGTCAGTGGCCCACTGTTCAAACACGTGCTTCGTTTGACAATCGCAGTGTTAGCACATGAAACTGTGTTAAGTAAGCACTGCATCAAACCAGTTTAGAATTCAACAGAACCTTAAAGGTCTTTGTCCGGTATTTTTCAAACCACAGTTTACATCCTGTTAGTAGGTCATGAAATAAATTCATCAGGTTTATAGCAAGGGATTGTTTTTTTTAACAAAACAGCATAGAATAAAAAATAAATAAGACTATACAGAATGCACTATTCCATGAATCTTGTTTATAGTTTGATGTATTTACATGCACACATGTGTACTCATATATATAGTATATTATGTAAAATGTACCAACAAATTCTGATAACATGGACGTCTCTGGTAGAAAAGTGAATACCCTCTTCAGCCTTCCCATAAAGATACAGATGACCCGGGCTGAGCACACTCGTACGTAACTTTGGGTCGGGCACTATTCCAAGCTCTTTCCGTGTATGAATCTGTATCATCCTTCATAACAAGCCTATAAGATGGGTGCTATTTACATCTTACAGATGAGAACACTGAGATACACAGAGGGTAAGGAACTTGAACAAAGTCACCTAGACGAAAGCAGCAGAGGAGGGATTTGATTCTAGACAGCTGGACTCTTGTCAGGCTCCACGGCTTCTACCTGAAAAACCACGTTACAACAGGGAGCTCATGTCCTCCCAAGATGGCACTGTGCAAGTCTCACCTCGTATGACCAGAGCCGGTTCTAGCACAGAGCCTTTCAACCCTGTGCCTGCTACTACGCTTATGCAACGGTGTTCTTAGTAAAAGTTGTTTCATGAAGCTGCAATCAAACAAGCTCAAGATAAAAGATATCGACAAGCATATTTGTAAGAGAACATGTTTATTTACATCACTATTTCCTTTTTACAATGCCTCCACTTTTTAAATAAAAAATTTTCCAGGAAATCAGGTAGTTTTAAATTATTAAGATATTTTAACAAACACAATTTTCACCCAATGATTTTTATTTACATGAGTTTTCAGGACTTTTAAATAGTTCTTTTGAAACTGCACAACATAACCAAAAGGTCTTACTCAGAACCTGAATCTTTGCCAAAAACTTTTTGTCTAGGAAATTATGTTTATAATCAAATCCTTGTGGTTTGGATCTTTTCAGATGAGGATTTTATTGATACCTCTAAAATATAAACCTGCTTCATTAATGATCTGTATTTTGGCTGCAAGCTGAACTTATTTGACACTTTCTGATAGTAAGCAAAGATATTTTTGATACGTTAATTAAACTGCTTTGATTAAAACTTTCATGAAGTTTTCCATATCAGTCATGTAACTCCCTATGTTGCTGTGTATGTATTCTGAGTACACACTGAATTTATGAAGATGGATTTATTTCCGGTCCGACCAACTCTGAAAGACACACATAGGGGACTCAGAACTTTACGGCACAGGTATTGGTGCATCTACCAATCCTTTCATGTTGTATTGATAGATTTCAAATATTTATTAGAGAAACTATAAGACAAGATAGATTTTCCTAATATTTTTGAAGTATGAGTTCCTCTGAATAGTTGGTATAACATCCATTAAAAAATAGAAAAGATTGACTTTTACCGTGATGACAGCTACAGTTCATAATGAAACACCTGTATAGCTCTGCCCAGCACCTCTGTGAACAGCCAAGGGCCCGTCTTGAACATCACGCAGCAGCAATAGAGGTGTCATCCATGAGTCGACCCTGTGGCTTTAAAGTGGGGAAAACAAGGTGGGTTTACCAAGTTATAATATAATAACAAAAGCTCTAGTAACTGGAAGGATTTTGAAATTCCTGAACCTGATTTACAAAAACAGAATAAACAAGTGTTAGGCATCGAAATACAAATGGTGATCCTGCTCCTTTCACCCCACCTTCTTCCTTCCTTCACTTGCACCTGGGGATGGTCGCCACACAGGCTGGGGCTGCCCTGTCTGCAGCCATCACCAGCGGACTCTGCACCTCCACCCACCGCTTCCTCTTCCGTCAGCACTTCTCTCTCAAGCCTGTGTTCCAGCAGCTACTGCCAGGCCATTTCCCACTGATGGCATGTGGAATGGAACCTTGTTTATCATTTTTTTTGAGATGGAGTCTCACTCTGTTGCCCAGGCTGGAGTGCAGTGGAATGACCTCGGCTCACTGCAACCTCCCCCACTTGGGTTCAAGTGATTCTCCTGCCTCAGCCTCCCAAGTGGCTGGGATTACAGGTGACTGCCACCATACCTGGCTAATTTTTCTATTTTTAGTAGAGATAGGGTTTCACCATCTTGGCCAGGCTGGTCTTAAACTCCTGATCTCGTGATCCACCCGCCTCGCCCTCCCAAAGTGCTGAAATTACAGGCGTGAGCCACCACACCTGACCTGTTTATCATTCCTGCTGAAATGATAGTTTTATACTCTCTCTCTTGCTCAGGGCCCTCCTATGTCTCAAGCTTTAAGCAGGCCCAGAGCCTGAGCTGACAGTAAGTTCCTTCTGGGGACTCAAGGTTTCCCAATCTCCTGTTTGAGCAAAAGAGGTCTGCAGTGAACTCCAGCACATACTGCAAGGGTAAAAGCAACAGATGAAAACAAAGGCTGCCCCATCTCTAAGATCACTGACTGAAATAATCCAAAACATCACATCAGCAAAGTCAAGACTAAGAATGAATACAAAGTATCATAACTGTTTTTAGTGGTAAAACTTCTGGCAGGTTAACATCTCAGAGGGATATCTAGTAGCTAAAATGATAAAATTTATGCAAATAATGTTTTCATTATACAGACATACAATAGCAGACCTTTGTGGGGAAAGCATGAGAAAGACGATCAGGAAATGAAACAGGAGAGTGCTCACAATCAAAAGCCATTTGCTATACTTTCAACGGAAGGATTCTGAGGGATTCCCAGGTGGTGAAGACAGCACTCCTGCTTTCAGTTTGTTGCTGTTGTGGTTGTTCAGATGTATATAGGGGTGTGTGTGTGTGTGTGTGTGCGCGCGCGCGCGTTTCTGATGTATATAGGGGTGTGTGTGTGTGTGTGTCTGATGTACATAGGGGTGTGTGTGTATGTCTGATATATATGGGGGTGTGTGTGTGTATGTGTGTGTGTGTGTGTCTGATGTATATAGGGGTGTGTGTGTGTCTGATGTATATAGGGGTGTGTGTGTCTGATGTATATACGGGGGTGTGTGTGTGTGTGTCTGATGTATATGGGGTGTGTGTGTGTATATGTGTGTGTGTGTGTGTCTGATGTATATAGGGTGTGTGTGTGTGTGTATGTGTGTGTGTGTGTCTGATGTATATAGGGGTGTGTGTGTGTGTGTCTGATGTATATGGGGTGGGTGTGTGTGCGTGTGTGTACACATACATAAACACAGCTAAGCATAGCTTCCAGATATTCAAGGCAGGAATGGAGTTAGTGAAACAGATTCCCAATCTTTCATTCTTGACTACTTTTTTAGTACTCATGGAAGCTGTTCAATTTTAGAAACAAAATCATGGCTCAACCTAGTTAAATTCTGCCAAATGTAGCTTTTACAAGCAGGGACAGAAAATGAGTGCATCATACAATTAGAGAACCAAAGTCTTTTATTCAAAGGAAGAAAAGTATGGATTCAGCCTTGCCGAGGATGTCACTGTCTGGTCTGGTAGCCACTAGACACATTTGGCTATTGAGCACTTGAAGTGTGGCAGTGGAACCAAGTACATTTAATTGACACTGAAATCTCGATAGTCACATGTGGCTAGGGGCTATACTGGACAGCACAGCTCTAAAGTTTAATACACGTAACTGGGCCTAAAATTTTAGTCAGTGATTGTCCAATAAATGGGAAAGGGTAATCCTCAGCCACTGCCCTTAGTGTGACAAGTAAAAATAAAATGGTAGACATTCATGGTATACAATATGATGTTTTGAAATATGTACACTGTATATGCGCTGTGAAATGGCTTTATTTTTTTGGACATGGGGTCTCACTGTTGTTGCCCAGGCTAGAGTACAATGGCGCAATCTTTGCTCACTGTAACCTTCACCTTCTGGCTTCAAGTGATTCTCCTGCCTCAGCCTCCCATGGAGCTGGGACTACAGGCACCTGCCACCACACCTAGCTAATATTTGTATTTTTAGTAGAGACAGAGTTTCCTGTTGGCCAGGCTGGTCTTTAATTCCTGACCTCAGGTGATCTGCCCACCTTGGCCTCCCAAAGTGCTGGGATTACAAGCATGAGCCACCTTGCCCGGCCAAAATTTTTTAATTATACGTTTTTCCAACTAATAAAAAAGCTGGCTCTGAGGGGTCCAGTCAACATTTTTGGCAGCAGTCAAGTTGCTAGAAGGTGGTACCTGCACTCAGAAAAGGGATCTCTGCAGTTAAAAAGGATATGCTAGTTATGTTAAAACTTATGAACGTTTATTTTCTGGAAACTTTCCTTGTGAATTTAAACACTACCCAGAAGAGGTTTACCTTGAGAGAAAATCAAAAGACTGAATTAGCGTTAGTTGGGATTACGTCTAGGTCTTCTGAGCACCACAGACAGAGGAATAAAAGAGATTAACTGACGGAACCAAAAATCTCTCCTTTTCAATATTAGTTATTCTAGCAACCCCAACAAGCTATTTCTGTGCGGCTAGAATATGATCAAGTCTACATATGTCTAAATGATTCAAACGGTACTTCTAAATTTAAAAATAGTAAACTTCAAAAAGTCAAACAGCTAAAGGGACATTACAGAGGCCACTGGTTCCCCTCTGTGCCCCCACCCAGTCGTGAGACTTCTCCCCTACAGAGTGACTTCACACATGACAGTGTAGGATGGCAATGGAAGCGTCATTAGACCGAAGTGACTAGGTGAAAATGTTAAAAAGCCACCGTTTAAACACAAGCAGATCCAAAATTATGAGATTTTTCTTTTACAATTTAAAAGTATGGTGTGGAATAGGAGCTTGGGAGGGTTAATGATTTTTATAGAGATGGAAAAAATATTGTATAAGTCTGGAAATATAAAAGCTGGCAGAGTACGGAGGATATATTAACAGATAATTTACCAAATCCTGGATTATATAAACAAGGAACGGTTCCCCCAAACTTGAATAAGACAGACACAAAAAAGGAAGTAGTGAGCAATACAAACTGTCATTCCAAAAGAGAGTACGAACTTCAAAGAGGGCACACAGCAGTGACATACGTTTATGTATGTGGAGTTACAGAGGGACACCAGAACCCTGTGGAAGGATGGCTCTGATTTCAGGTATCAGGGTGGCAATCAGAGGTGGACTCTGAGCTAAATGAACCACTCATCCCTCCAATTTGCTTGCTTACACACTGCCCGTCCTATGTATTCTTTTACTGCGGGAACCTGGAAATTGTGTAATATTTAAAAAATGGAAACATTAAACCAGAGTATAGTTTCTGAGAGATGATCACTTTCAGAAGACAGTTACATCCAGTATTACAGAGTTACAGGGAAGTCTGGGGATATTTAGTTAATTCATTTTGATGACTATAGTTATAAACAAATTACAATTTTAAAGTATACTTCACTAAGCCAAAGAGAAAATATGCAATATTATAAAGATAAATCATTATTTACCTAAGGAAATAAAAATCTTTGAAATTAGATTCTATAAAAACTAACTCTATAGAAATGAATAGCAATACTGTCAAACACATATGATAAAAGTCAAAACTATCACTGTTGGTCTCAAAATACTGTTCAGGGAAGTTCACATGAAAAAGAAGTCTGTTTGTTTTGAGGAGATTGAATTTAAAAAGCAGAAAATTTCTAAGCTTTACCTTGACAAAAATACTGGTAGGTATAAAACGCCTGAGCAGCTGATTTGTGAAGTTAGGAAATCTAAGCAAGTTGATGCTGAGAGATGGCAGCTGCTGGTATCCAGCCATCAGAGGGTAGAAATTATATAACATCTCCTGCTCTGTGCCGGGTAGGATACGTAATCGAATCTGCAGCATAAAAAGTCATAGGGAAAGATCATCAAATATACATACATGCAATATCTATATGTGGTTATCCTCAATTATTTACATAAGATTGGGTATCCAAACCTTTTTAGTGAAATATTCGCTCTCTCCTAGTCCATCTTTCAAAATGTAGGGCTAATTAGTATGAGTTTAGAACAAGGCAGACAGGAAATGTATAAAAAATATATGGAGGATTTCTCAGTTTCTACCAAGATCTACAAAGGTAACTTATACCTCCTAAACATGAGAACACTAGACAGGTTAATATTTTCTCTGTCTTAGCCCAGGTAGATTTTAAGTTCACAATATGTTAAGGGATAATTTGGAGAAGAGTGTCTACTTGTAGACATTATGCCAATATAAAACAAATTAGTTCTAATTTGTTCAGTTGTTTCTGTTTTCTCTTAAGGATTTTACCTTTGTGTCATAGTATGTAATTGCAGGATGAAAAAAAAATGTTTTGAAAATCTTTAGCAATACTTTTAAAAAGTATACAAACTGGTCAGATTTTGGCATCTTTGTATTTCCTTTTTTTATATATATATATTTCCTACTATTTGTAAGTCAACACCTGGAAAAAATCAAGACACTCAAGAAAAAAAGCTTACTCATTTGTAAATAATACAGCTGGTATATTTGATACCGTATATTATAACTATAAAACAGTACCTGAACATACAGCGTATATCATATAACATTCTATTTTGCACTGAACAACAAACAGCACTCAGAATCTGCAGAGCGGTTAATAGGGTAAACACTTCTGGGTGTTAAGCCATGCTTGTTCTCTAATTATGCCTTGTTAATTAGAAAGTCTTTCCTGACTTTGGGGGGCATCTCTGCTATCCCTCTCACAGTGGAGAACAGGACTCTCACTGAAGCATGGTTTTGCCTGGGTGTTTTGTTTGCGCATTTAAAAACCTGATGAACTTTTCCAACTCTGATTTGACTGCATGAATCAAAAAACCTAGGTAACTTATAGAAACCTTTCCTGTATCTAAACACAGCAAAGGTTCTATGCAAAATCAAAATCTCCATGAAACTGTACTGATAGAAACATAGGCTGTTAATATTATTACAGTGAGGTCTCCAGGCCTCCCACTGACGCGCGCACGCACACATACACACACACATACACACACACACACACACACTCACATCAGTAATAAAGGAGAGATTTAAGTTTTCCAGGAATTATAATACAGTCCAAGGATTTGTGGACTTTTGTAAGAAGAACCCATACGTCTGATCTCAATGATGTGACAAGGGTAACCCACCTTTAGAGGGAGCTGTACTTAAGGTGCTTAAAAATTCCCTATTACCAAAACAACAGGGACCACAGTCAGCTTTACCCAGTTCATTCATAAATTCCTGGACACACTTTTGTGTCAACATAAGCAGCACAAGATATGACCTGTACCTGTTTGAGACCTGAGAACATGAAGGCATCACTGGGCTCCACAGAAATTTCCACATCTTGAACTAAGTCGGTCTTATTCTGTAGGTGATACTTGACAGGCAAGGACTCTCTGACTCGCCCAAATGATGGCAAATCTACAGAGAAAGATGACACATTTCTCTTGGTTTAAAAAATAGCTCACCATTTATGCTTCGTTTTGTAAAGGAATCTCATTCAACGGACATAGTATCATTTAAATGAATGAAGTTACAGTGTACTTGCCAGGTAAGAAAATTCTTTGATTGGGCAACAGCGACAGGACTATGATAAGACAGGCTAAGGAAATAAGTGTTCTTCTAAAAATGACTGGCCTAGACAGGGTCTTGGCTAGCAGGAACAGAATTATATTTTAGGCATCATTTTTTAAATCTATAAAAGATTTCCCAAAATATCAATCATGGTTCCTAAACTAGAATAAGCAAAAGCTGTGTTTTAGTGAAGTTGTAAGTAAAACTTTCATTCATGCATTTATGAATACACTGTTGTTTGGGTGCGTGTGTGTGTGTGCGTGTGCGTGCGTGTGTGTGTGTGTGTTGGCAGTTCTGCCATTTTATTTTTCCTGAGATACAAAAAGATGGAGTGCTTCATGAATTTGAGGGTCATCCTTGCACAGGCCATGCTAATCTCTGCACCACTCCCATTTCGGCATATATGCTGTTGAAGTGAGCACTACATACAGTTTTTTCAAATTATAGACATTAGGATAACCAAACAGTTAATAAAGGAAAGTTTCTCTTCATAAAGTATTCCAGTAAAGAAAGAATGATGGACAGATGTTATCTGCCTCCTGGTGGGAGCACACACCATTTATGAAGTATTCTTGTCAAAAACTTGACCCTGAATCTGTTATCAAGCCTATAGACAAGGCAATTTACAGGAACAGAGAAACATTTAAAAATGACACCATGCAATCTGCAATATTCAGCCTATGGGAAACTCTATAGGACAAATGACTTAGTTTCTTCAGCAAGGAAGAGATGGAGGTAGGAAGGAGAAGGACAGGGTGGTAGAGAAAGTGGTATTAGAAGAGGTGATGGAGGGGTTAATGGTGGGAGTCGGGGAGAGGAGAGAGGGTATGGGAGAGGGAGAGGTAGTCAGCCTACCTGCCTACCTATAGGTTATAGATGGATAGTATGAGACTTATCCATCAGTTGCAGTGTATAGACCTCAAAATAAACTGAAAAAACATCCAAAGTTAACTAGGAAATTTTCAACATTGGAATTTGATGACATTAAGACATTACTGCTAATTTTTAAAGTCATAATAATGGTACTACAATTATATATTTTTAAATAGCCATTATTTTTAAAACGGACATATGAAAGTATTTATGGCTTGAAATGGTATCGAGGATTTGTTTCAAATAACAGGGGTGGGAGGAGTGTGTAGAGGTAGGGATGAAACAAGACTGGCCATAACCGACTTTTACAAATGTTGAAAAATTTTCATAACTGGATGTTAAAATAACTCTTAAAAGTTAAAATAACTACTGTTATTGGATCCTTCTCATCAAGTAAAATTTAAATTCTGTTACCTGCATTGACATGGAGAGGGATAGTTTCCACAATCACATGTGGCAGAGTGATGACAGTACTGATGGTGGGGATGTTCTCCATGGCTGAAGTCCTGTGACAAAAGAGGTCATCGTTTAAACTCACACTTTCCAAAAGAAGTTAATAAATCAAAACAGGAAATGTGTACTCACCAACTAATTTCAAAAGAAATATGTTACTTATCCATTTCCCAAAATATTATTATTATTATCATTATTTGAGACAGAGCCTTACTCTGTCACCCAGGCTGGAGTGCAATGGCACAATCTCAGCTCACTGCAACCTCTGCCTCCTGGGTTCAAGCCATTCTCCTGCCTCAGCCTCCCGAGCAGCTGAGATTACAGGTGCACACCACCACGCCCAGCTAATTTTTGTATTTTTAGCAGAGATGAGGTTTTGCCACGTTGGCCAAGCTGGTCTTGAACTCCGGACCTCAGGTGATCCACCAGCCTTGGCCTCCCAAAGTGCTGGGATTACAGGCATCAGCCATCATGCCCGGCCTCCCAAAATATTATTAGTGGAAGTGGTTTTGTGAAGTTAAGAGCTTTTAAAATTCCACGTCTGAATATTTCCAGTTAACAAATGGTTATGACCCAGGGCTGCTGTGTATTACCAGCGGGGGATAATCATTATGCACACCATTTAATATAGTGTTTTGGTAGCAATCCTTTCTCAATTCAGGAACAGTGCAGTGATTTACATTATAACATAAATTCCTTCACTCACTGAGAATGGCTTACAGGTGGGCCTGAGACCAGTCTGACGAGCACTGTTGTAACTCACTACAAGTATATAGCAGAAACTGAGGAACTAAAAGTGTTTTACTATCAACAAACATGGTGGTATTCCCATATTTAGGGAGCCAAAGTAACATCATGAAACTGATAAGTATTTTCCCTGTGGTATGGTTAAAGGTGGGAACTACAGGGGTGGTGCCAGGGAAATCCCTGTGAGTCTAGGGGCAGAGCAGCTGACATTATGTGCAAATTATCAGAGAGCAAAACCAACAGGCAAAGAATCTAAGCCCTCATCAATAATACATGAATACACCTCTGTCGTAATACTGCAGCATGATGGAATAATTCAGCAAGGCCTTAAACATGCTGTTTTGACACCTACAATCAAATAAATAAAACTAAACATCAATATAGTAAATTCAGGAATGGAGAAAAAGAAAGACAAGTTTATTTACTTCTTAGTAATATTATATATTTTTCCATTCTTAAAAAGTTTCTGCTTTAGTTCCTAACATGGTAAATATTTGTGCATATAATTCACATAAATAAGCTATTTAGGGTTCTCAATGAGTTTTCAAAGTGTAAAGGTGTCTTGAGGCCAAAACGTTTGAGAACTGTGGGCCTACAGTTATTTTTTAGTTTCTGCCTTTGTCAGGCTTAGGGATGGGTGCTCTTCATGAACAAACCCAGGGAATTTTCCTTCTTGCTCTATGCTTTGCGTATAACTTATAACATGAAAACAATAAATAACACCATGTAATATATATGCTAAACATATATTCTTTGAAGCTAATCTCATAAATTTCCTCCAGTTACTGGATTTTTAGGTTAAAAATTTTCCTTTAGTCAATTTTTATCATTTATAACCTTTTTGTGACAGCCATAACATTCAGATCTTTCTACTAGTTACTCTGAGTTGTACAAAACATTCCCTTAAAACCAGTATCTTCTGATTCCTTTCTCATTTTTAAGTAATACATGTTATTCCCTGTTTTAGAATTTTTGAAAGTAATTAAGCCATACCAAGAGGATAACACATGAATACCATCTATCTACTTCCCAGTCTAAGAAAGAAATTACAACGATACAACTGAATCTTCTTGCAGAGCCCTTCCTGCTTGTACCTCCCCACCCGAAAGGTAGCCACTATCCTGAATTTGGTATTTATCATTCCCACGTATTTTATACTTTTCCAAATTACGTATGTAGTCCTAAGAAATATATAGCATGTTTGACATGTTTTTCAATGTCATATTAATGCAATTTATTCATATTCTCATCAGTAGCTTGCTTTGCTCCCTTTACCTTAAGATGTTGATACGTGTAGCTCTGGTTCATTCACCTCACTGATATGTAGTATTCCATTGTGCGAATGTGTCACAATTTATTCTCTTTTCTATTGATGGAAATTTAGTTTTTTTTCCACCCCCCATTTTTTTAACTATTACAATCAATGCTACTATGAACTTTTTTCTTTTTTTGAATCAGGTTATTGCTCTGTTGCCCAGGCTAGAGTGCAGTGGCACAATCCCAGCTCACTGCAACCTCCACCTTTTGGGCTCAAGCCATCCTCCCACCTCAGCCTCCTGAGTAGTTGGGACTACAGGTGTGCATCGCTGAGCCCAGCTAATTTTTGTATTTTTTCAAACTCCTGAGCTCCAGCAATCCTCCCATCTCGGTCTACAAAAGTGCTGGGATTAGAAGTGTGAGCCACTGCACCCAGCCATGAACATTCTTATACATAACACCCTTTGTGTACAGATTTAGTTTGGCTAAAATGTCAATAGCATGTAAGTCACAAATTGTGACAAGCACAAATTCAGGTTTAATTATCTTTTTCAGCTTTGTGTTCACATCCATGTGACTTCTGCTCTTCAGAATGACAGAAACTCTCAAATATTAAGTGACAAAGATGAATAATAAAGATATCAGAATAACAAAGACAATGAAGAAAAGACCAGATTGATATAATTTTTACCTTTTCCAAGAGATAATATAATGGCCGGTTGCTACTCCACCTTCAACATTTCCAAGAGATGGGCATCGAAGACAAAAACATTCACTAGCACTCTCTCCAGTCTGTAAGACAACTACAGGGAAGAGTCTTTATACTCTATGCAATGGTTTCGTCTATGAAAGGAGAGTTTCACATCCAAGTAATATAACAAATAAAGAATATCTCACCCATTATATGTTATTTATAGAGACTTACAAGGTAGGGCTCAGAGATGTTAAATGACTTTTTCAAGGTCACAAAGTCCACTGTTTTTGTTAATGTATCAATATTCCATTATAGTAAAATCCAGCAAGGCATCTATATATCTGCGAGTCAGTCCTATGGAAACTAATGAATGTGGAAAGCTTAGAGACAGAATAAATATCTTATGGTGACTGTTTTTCTTTTTCTAAATTATTTCACGCCTCCAAAGTAAATACTTTGGGGTAGAGAAAAAGAAAATAGAAAACTTACGCTACCCTTAAAGTACTCAAAATATCATTCCAGAAAATTGTGGCTTTCTCTTAATAAACACACACAGGTTGACCATCCCTAATCTAAAAATCTGAAACCAAAATGCTTCAAAATCTGAAATGTTTTGAGTGCCAACATGACACAAAAAGTTATTCTACAAGGAAAGGCATCCAGGCGTGGTGGCTCACAACTGTAATCTCACTTGGGGAGGCCAAGGCAGGAGGATTGCCTGAGCTCTAGGAGTTTGAAACTAGCCTGGGCAACAAAAGGAGACCCCGTCCCTTTACATAATTAAATTAGCCAGGTGTGATGGTGTGCACCTGTGGTCCCAGCTACTTGGGAGGCTGAGGCAGGAGAATAGCTTGAGCCAGGGAGTCCGAGGCTACAGTGAGCCATCATCCTACCACTGAACTCCAGCTGGATGACAGAGTGAGACCCCGTCTCCAAAATGAAAATAAAAATTTTTAAAAGGCCAGGCACAGTGGCTTATGCCTGTAATCCTGGTACTTTAGGAGGCCGAGGTGGGTGGATCACAAGGCCAAGAGATCGAGACCGTTCCGGCCAACACGGTAAAACCCCATCTCTACTAAAAATACAAAAAATTAGCTGGGCATGGTGGTGTGTGCCTGTAGTCCCAGCTACTCAGGAGGCTGAGGCAGGAGAATTGTTTGAACCCGGGAGGCGGAGGTTGAGGGAGCCGAGATTGTGCCACCGCACTCCGGCCTGGCGACAGAGCAACACTCCCTCTCAAAAAGAAAAAAAAAAAAAATTTTTTTTTAAAGACAAAATGTTCTTTAAAGCATTTCAGATTTCATATTTTTAGATTAGGGATGCTCAACCACTAAGTATAATGCAAATATTCTGAAATCTGAAACACTTCTGGTACCAAGCATTTCAGGTAAGAGATACTTAGCCTGTATTACTAACAGCACTCACACCGCCTCATGTGACTATTCACCTCTGTGCAAGAATGCTTTCCTCCTGCCAATTTTACAGTCAATTCCCTGATGACAAGATAAGCGCCCATTCAAACCAAGTCTCCTCCACCTTTCAGTTCTCCAGAACCTGCAATGTCGCTCCTTTAAATGCAAGCAGGCAACAGTACTTATTTAATGGCAATTTTAGCAATCTGTGAGTGAAATTCTGAAGTACAACAACCGGCCAGGTGTGGTGGCTCATACCTGTAATCCCAGCACTTTGAGAGGCTGAGGTGGGCGGATCACAAGGTCAGAAGTTCGAGACCAGCCTGACCAATGTGGAGAAACTCCATCTCTACTAAAAATACAAAACTTAGCTGGGCATGGTGGTGTGCACCTGTAGTCCCAGTTACTCGGGAGGCTGAGGCAGGGGAATCACTTGAACCCAGGAGACAGAGGTTGTGGTGGGCAGACATCGCACCACTGCACTCCGGCCTGGACAACAGAGCCAGACTCTGTCTCAAAATAATAATAATAATAATAATGAACAAAGTGTCTAAACATTAGGTTATTTTTATGGTTTTCTAATGAAGAAGGTTGTGACAGATTAATGGAGGTCTGATTGTGGACAGACAACATTAGAGAAAGGGAAAAAAGCTGGATCAACCTTTGCTTTAATTAAGAATTTTTATGTAACGTTAAAGACTTGGAAAATATATTGCAGCCCAGTAAATAAAATACACATCAATTTGAACCTCTAGAGATCACCTTTTAAAAAACCTGGGCCATTCATATTAAACTCTGCCAAAGTTCTCCTTAATTCTAAGAAGTTAAACAAAATGATCGTTATTTTTATGAACAATTAACATTAGGATCAATTTGTGACAATGAAGTGGTATACTGCTGGTTTTGAAGACGGAGGAAGGAGCCAGGCACAGAGGAGTGCAGGTGGCCTCTAGAAGCTGGAGAAGACAAAGAAATAGATTTCCTGAGAGCCTCCAGAGGGAACACAACCAGGATGACCCCTTGTTTTTTGGACTTCTAACCCGCATAACTTTAATATAGTTAAATCTATGTCATTTTAAGCCACTAACTTTGTGGTCATTTGTTACAGCAGCAGTAAGAAACGAATATACTAGAAGTTCAAGCCAGAGATTATTGCTTAATTTAGTAAACACTTATTAGCTAAGTACTACGATGCTGGCAATATGAAGATGAGTGAGACACAGCTCAGGTTCTAAAGGAACACACAGTCTAGTAAGGAGCCATATTTACAAATAGTAATTGCAATGTAATGGAATAAGTGTAACAATGTAAGTATGCGCAAAAAAACGTAGGAGTAAAGAAGGAAGAGTACTTAGCTCTGCTTGGGAGGAACAAGAAGTTAAAGTTTACATGAGCCCTGAAGAGCAAGCCAGAGTTCAACAGTTTGAAAGGATGAAAAAGGTTTTAGACAAAAGTTCCAAAGATATGTTCAAAAGTAGCTGGGGGCAATGATGGACGAATGCCCTGAGTTTGTCTTGGTTGAAACCTGGGAGACTGCACAGGGCAGTGGAGAGCCTGAGGTAGAGGCAGCTGGGAAGGTCAGCCAGAGCCGGACCAGGTGAGGTCTCGCAGCAATACGAAAGGCTGACTGGGGAAAAGAATGACTGCCAAGGAAGAAACCAGTTAAGAACCTATTTCTGTAGACCGGGTGAGAAAAATGGTAAGATGGCACTGAGATTGGAGATGAAAAGCTGAATTCAAAAAACGTTTAGAAGGTAGCACTTGAGCTCAGCAATGGATGTGGATGTGAAGGACTGTAGTTTTTCTCTGCCGTTTCCAGCTTGGATCAAGGGTACTTACAACGACCCCTCCAACTGGACATGGGAATGCAGGCAGCCTGAGATCGTGGGGCAGCGGAAGACTTGTAGGAACCAAAGACAGGATACTGGAAATGACCAACACTGAAAGCAAAGGAATCAGCAAGAATGGACAAACAACCAGCTTTTACTAAGCTGTCAGAAGAGGGGCACTGAGCTAAGAGAGTTCATATTCTCCCATATATACGACTCGATTATTTCACATACACCATCCTCTCTGCCTCTAAGAGGTGATGAAATGACCTTTTGAGTTCACAAAAGAGCAAGTGGTAGGGCTGGAAACTGAATCGAGCTCAGTCTGACCCTCAAGCTCATTATTCCCAATTAAAACAGTAAGGAAAAAGGGAAGGAAACAGAAAAACACAGCAGGACAGAGAAGATGATTTCCAAACATACAAGAGAAAACCAAGTTTCAAGAAGAGATGAAAAAACAACTCATGAAGACATTGTGAAAGCAAAGATATTATTAGTACTTTTTAAAACCAGAGAGGTATTGTCCTGGGTTTGAATCAGTCTTACAAACTGTTTTAGCGGGAAGACTCAGAAAATGTATCTTCTACTTTTCTATATTTGCCAAAGTATCTTTAAGAAATATCTTTTCTAGGGGAGGGATAACATGGCGAGAAATGTCAGATATAGGTGATGGGGATGGAGGCAGCAAACCACGTTGCCATGTATGTACCTATGCAACAATCCTGCATGTTCTTTACATGTACCCCAGAACAATTATATATATATATATACATATATATATATATATGTATCTTTTCTCATTTCAAGTTATGAAAAACAGTAAACATTAAGAGTCAATGAGAAGAAAAGCCTTTAAAAGTTCAAAAATGAAAAAAATTCTTTTCGTGAAGTACAGTTTCAAAGTACAACTTCCTTAGAGTATGAAAAAAATCGGATCTTTAAAAATCAGGTATAGTCAAGCAAATGGTATTATAAATGACACCAATTCCACCTTAATTCCATATGCATTTGCTTTCGTGAGTATAGGGCTCCAGTTCCCTCACTTAGTAAAAAGCGAATTAACTCCTCCATTGCCAGCTTACACACACACACACACACACACACACACACAATTCTCCTGCTCTTTAAGTGGAAATGGACCGACTTCTCACCATTTTCCACCTGGGACTCTAGCTGGTCCACTGTGGACATGGATGGAGCAAGCTGGAGCTCACTGGAAACAATGGTGAGGGCCCAGGGTGAGGCACTTAGGACGTCCGTCATCAACAGAAAGGGGATGTCAGCATAAACCCTTTCCAGGTGCTCAAACTGTCACAAATGAAGATAAAAGGTCTGTCAGGAATTACTTTAATCCATGTTATCATTTCAGTCCATTTCTATAACTTAAATGACTTCTAGTATGCCTCACAGGAACATACCTTGGTAGAAACAAATTTAACTGCAACGTCAAATGGAAAGACTGTTTCTATTGTTACAGTTTCATCCTGCAAGAAAATTTAAAAAGCACATTCAATGGATTCTCTAAATCTTTGTATATAAAGTTTTAAAAAACAAAATCTATCACTGATCAATAAATAATCCCAAATTATACACACTAAGAGAGAAAGGCCTTTCTTTTAGATAATGTTTGTAAAAATCTGTGTAGAGAGAACTGAGTACTATTTTTTTTTTGGAGACAGGGTCTCACTCTGGCAACCAGGATGCAGTAAAGTGGCACCATCACAGATCACTGCAGCCTCAAACATGTGGGCTCAAGTGATCCTCCTGAGTAGCTGGGACTATAGGCGCACATCACCATGCCTGGCTACTGTGTTTTATTTTTTTAGAGATAGGGCCTTGCTATGTTACTCAGGCTAGTCTTGAACTCCTGGCCTCAAATGATCCTCTTGCCTCAGAACCCCAAAGCGCTGGTATTATAGGAGTGAACCACAGCACCCAGCGAAAGTGTTTTCTTATACAGTATTTATCTCTGTATCTAATAAAGTGGGTAAGGCAGGCATCACCACCATTTTACAGAGGAGGAATCAGATGTTCCACAAAGCTAGGGTCTTCTTTTGTCTAAGTTCTTACTACACCTCAACTCAAAATGACTGATAATAAAGATAATATGAATGTAATATGACAGACACTGCTATCATCACTACACATGTATTACATAATGTTCATAATCACACAAAGAAACAAGTGCTATTATGATTGCCATTTTAAGATGAGGTCACATAGCTGGAAACTAACAAAGGCATAAAAGCAGAATTGAAACTGTCATGGAGCCTACACTCTTAACCAACATGCTATATCTCCCTTCTAAGAGTCTGTTAGAAAAACAATGGGGGCTGGGCACGGTGGCTCACACCTGTAATCTCCGCATTTTGGGAGGCTGAGGTGGGCAAACTGCTTGAGCTAAGGAGTTCAAGGCCAGCCTGAGAAACATGGCACAACCCTGTCTCTACCAAAAATACAAAAAATTAGCTGAGCACGGTGGTGCACACCTGTAGTCCCAGTTACTTGGGAGGCTGAGATGGGAGGATTGTTTGAAACCAGGAGGTGAAGGTTGCAATGAGCCAAGATTGCGTCACTGCACTTCAGGCTGGGCAACACAGTGAGACCCCATGTCAAAAAAAAAAAAAAAAAAAAATAGAAAAAAGAAAAAAAGGGGGGGCGCTATTTTATCTTTCAAAACAAGTAACACGACCTCTTGGTAAGAAATCTTTAAAAAAGGTCATACTGGTTAAAAGCTCAGACTGTAATGCCAGGCACAGCTGAATTCTAATCCTGACTTGATACATACTTACTAGCTATGTGACCTTGAACCTAATGATGTGACCTTGGGAAAGTTACACAGGTTATCTGAAATGCTGGGACTAGAAATGTCTCAGGTTTTTGGATTTTGGAGTATTCCCATGCTTACTGGTTGAGCATTCCAAATCCAAAATTCTCCTGGAAGCATTTCCTTTGAGTGTCATGCTGGCGCTCAACAAGTTTCAGATTTTGGAACATTCTGGATTTTGAATTTTCAGATTTGGAATGCTCAACTCATGTGGTCTCTTTAAGTCCCAGTTTCATAATCCTCACAGGAAGGTTAGAAACATTAAATGAGATAATACATATAATGTGCTGAAAGTGGTACCCTCATCTCCTAAGTTACCATATGGGACTCTATGTATTACACCAGGCTATGAGAAGTTTTCAACAGTACATGACATGCCTTTTCTTTCACTTGGGAAATACTAACAATTCTGAGATGGTTTTCTTTCCCAATGACCTGTAAATAGCCAAGCTGTGCAGTACCAAAACTACAGCCCAAACTGTGCAGTAACAAAACAAATCCCAAATTGCTAGGCCTTCTCCTCTGCTGGGCTGAGGACCCAATACCTAAGAGAAAGCTAAAAAAACATTACTGTCAGGACCTAGGAGATACTAAATATCATAATGTTCTATTATATACAGCACAGTAAATCTATTTAAAAACATGGGCTCTTAAAAATCTCTATAAATAGAAAAGAGACCAATAAGGAATACAAAGAGTTGGCAGCTGCCTTCCAGTTGTGAACTGTAACTGTGATCGTTCCTATTTTCACTTTTATGTGCCCTTATCAAAAACAATTTTTACAAGTATTTTTTAATACTGAAAAAGTTTTTTCAAAGGGAGACCTCCTTTTCTCCAGAACCTCCTATATATAAGTCAACTTACAGATTTTATCTTACGTGTGATTTGCTTGAGATCTCAAACATGCTGATCCTCTATATGAAAAGCCATACAGGCCAGGTGTGGTGGCTCACGCCTGTAATCCTAGCACTTTGGGAGGCCAAGGTGGGCAGATCACCTGAGGTTGGGAGTTCGAGAACAGCCTGACCAACGTGAAGAAACCCTGTCTCTACCAAACACAAACAAAAAATTAGCCAGGCGTAGTGGCGCATGCCTGTAATCCCAGCTACTCGGGAGGCTGAGGCAGGAGAATTGCATCAACTCAGGAGGTGGAGGTTGCAGTGAGCCAACATCACGCCACTGCATTCCAGCCTAGGCAACAAGGGCAAAACACCATCTCAAAAAAAAGAAAGAAAACCCATATAAGCCAATTTTCTATTTAATGTTTGAGCAGTGAATGCCAGCCTAAACAAATCTCAATATAAGTGATTTTTTTAAAGTTTAATTAAAATTTATAATAGACTATAAGCACCTAAGCTGCTTATTTTATAAGTAAACTAAAATAACACAAAATGAGAACACTCCACATACGATGCTTCATACAGTAGTTAAAAAAAAAAAAATACCTTGTGACACTTGCAAACAATTTCTTTTTCTTCAACAGTTGTATTGATCAGGTAAGAAACATATACAAGAAACATTCTTGAACCCACTGTGCCACAGCGAACATACAACATTTTTTCCAGCTATAACAAAATTAATGTTGTGATTTAATTAATATTACAGACATTGCCTCTTGATATATATTCTCAGATAATGCTCCCACCTTCTAGAGTTTACTATACCAACTGGCTAAATTCTTTATAACTTTTACAGAATGTTACAATGTAACTGATCAGATTCCCACTGTATAAGAGTATCTGATTATCTGGACACAGCATAAGAGTGGAATCATTACTACTGCATCTCTTAGAAATTATTATTCTCAACTTCCATAAAATTTTTGTATCTCGTTTAGAAGCAAAAGTTAACTGAGAAGTTACTACATTAAGTTACAAACAACAGTTATTTTATTAGCCAACTAATTCATATTAAGCATGTTTTCTAAATTCCCCTGTAGAAAAGCTGCTTAAGACATTTTATACATTTAAGTATGCAAAATGTGTATGAAATGTTCATTAATTAAATCACTTTTCAGTCCTAGAATTTGCTGTTAAAATGCTCTGAACTGTTTGAAACTCACTATATATTCAAAACTACAAACTAATTGATTTCTTCTCCGGTCCCAGTTGACCAAGTTTACCTGTTCCCCTGGATGTAAGTCTCCAACAGGAATGTCAGTGAGTAAAGCCGGGTAGGATTCATCACACAGTTCTGTCCCATGAAGAGTCACATGAGTTTTCTGAGTTAAATTGGCATCTTGTCCTAAAAGAGTTAATGCTGATTGGTTCTTCAAAATAAGAACTCAAACACTAACCCAATAATCAATACTGTGTGAAGAGCACTACGTCATACCTTCTTTTAAACAAAAGTCCTAGCGTTGACATCACTGATGCATATTTTATGTTGGATTAATACTGATCAAACTTTCAAAAAAGAATGCATACCTGGTTTTAAGCCAGCAGTGAGCTTCACATCTCTGATTTGGGTCTTTTCATGAGATTGAACAGTCACAACCAAACAATACATTTCATTAGTCAGGGCAGGGGGCTCGTGTCGCAGATGTACAGAAATGTTTGGAACTCTGGAAATGATCCTTTGAAAAGAAACCTTAGCTAAGTAACTGATTAAAAAAAAAAAGAGCAAATAAATTATTTAAATAAAGTATTTAAAAGAAATAAGAGGCTGGGTGTGATGGCTCACACCTGTAATCTCAGCACTTTGGGAGGCCGAGGCAGGAGGATCATTTGAGCCCAGGAGTCTGAAACAAGCCTGGGAGGCATAGTAAGGCCCTGATCTCTAGAAAAAACACAAAAATTATTCAGGGATGGTGGCACCTGGCTGTAGTCCCAGCCACTGGGGAAGGCAAGGGTGCACACATGTTGCATTCAACTAAATCCTTTAACAAAAGGACTCAAAATAAAATTACGAATTATAATTTATGTCTGGTAGGTTTCCTTAGGTACCATTAAAAAATAAAATATGCAATTAGGGGATTTAGTCAAAATCATGAAGGATTTTTTTTTTAATGAATAAGCAAAAAAGGGTCAAGGCTGTAGTGAGTTGTGATCACACCACTGTACTCCCGCCTGGGCAGGAGAGAGACCCTGTCTCAAAAAAAAAAAAAAAAAAGAAATAGGATGACCTTTAGCATCAGCTTAGTAAAGCAGACTTACATTGTGCTTGCCTGAATTATTATGCTGTCCCAGTGAACTTCATTGTCGGGTAGCTTAGGTCGCCTTTTGAAAGACCGAGCTGCCTGTAAGGCTTCTTGGGAGGAAGCAGCATCTCCTCCTCCTCCCTGCCAATTTAAAACCACACATCTTCCCATCTCATTGCCCAGAGCAAGATCCACTGAAGTAATCTAAAAAGAAGGATGTCAGAAATGCCATTTCACATGTGGTTGTCACCATCCCCTCTCACCAAAATTACACCATAGACTACTACACCATGGAGTTCCTCTAGAGACCCCCCAGTGTGATAGAAGTCAGAACACCTGCTGTTAGAGTCCTCCTCTGGCTGAGACATAAACTAACTGCACCCTGGGTTTCAACTTCTTCACCTTTAAAACAGAGATAATAACCTGACCTTCTACTGAGAGGCTGATTGTACAGCAGCAGTGTTATGAATTCAGCATCTGGCATAGTCCCTGATATAATGAAACTCAATTAGTGGTGCTGAATGAAATCAATATTGTGATGGCTATAGATACATCATAACCTAATTTCTGATTCCACAAATATTTTTCCTGAAAATACTTATAGTATTAGTAATAAAATGCTTTATTAATTGCATACATGTTGCATTCAACTAAATCCTTTAACAAAAGGACTCAAAATAAAATTACGAATTATAATTTATGTCTGGTAGGTTTCCTTAGGTACCATTAAAAAATAAAACATGCAATTAGGGGATTTAGTCAAAATCATGAAGGATTTTTTTTTTTTTAATGAATAAGCAAAAAACTTTGGATACTGGTTAATAATAAAATCAACATGTTCATAGAAACTGTTATGGGAACACTGGTGGTACAACTATATCTTAGCAATGGTCCCAAGTGTAGATTAGCTAACCATTCCCGTTCATGTCATGAAAAGCAACCACTTACTGTGTGCTAATCACTATTCCACGCAAGTTACATTAACCAGCTGATTTAATCCTCATGAAATCCTCACAGGTAAGTACTCCTATGATCCCCATTTTACAGATGAATACACTGAGAAGACACATAGAAGCTAAGTAACTCCCCAGGGCCACAAACTTAATAAGCTGGAGAGCTGCAATTTAAACCCATACCATTTGGCTCCAGGGTTTCTGCTTAATAAAGATATTACTTAGATCCCATATTTCTAAAAGGCATTTCAATTGTCTATACTGTATCAATCTTTACAAATACATATGTTCATTTTTCTTTAAAAATATGTACTCAGTAATGTTTAAACATCAAAAGATAGTTATTCAGTCTGAATAACATAAAAAATATATTTGCTATATTACATAATATACATTAAAATTCCTTAACTGATTACGTAGTCATTAAAAAATGAGACTGGTTTTATGTACTAACAAGAAATAATGTCTAATATACACTATTAAGTGACAAAAGCCAGCTACGGTTTATTCTCAATTTTATTAATTGAAAAAATTTTAAACTACAAATATGTTCACAGAAAAATGTCTGGAAGGAAACTTCCGAAACTATAAAGAATGGTTTCCTTTAGGAAGTTCTAGTAGAAGATTTTCATTTTTTACGTAATAAGCTTTTGTATTATTTACAGTTTTCTGATATAAACATACTACTTTTATTAAAAATATTTTTAAACAAATTTCATAACTAACCTCGATTTTCTTTCCCACGTCTTCAGTTTTTGCAACAAATTTAAATAACAGTTTTCTTGTTTTACCAGGAACTAAGCACATCTTTCCTTGAGTCAGATTTTCTAAAACTTCACTTGCTTTGGATGCTTCTTCTATTACACAGAACTGGTTGTATTCCTGAAAGAGGTGAGCAGGGGTCATCAAATGTCAGACGTCTGCCAACACTGAATGCCCAGTACTTTGGAGCTCATTTAGTTTTAACACAAACACTGAAGCATTGTGAAAGGTTACCAATAAAAGAAAGTATTTTTATCCCAAATAGAGGCACTTACCCACTCACTGCTGCCACAATAAAACAGTTCCCTACACACAAACTGTTTCCTGAAAATATTTAGCTAACCCTCTCCCAGAGAGAGACAGTTTGTGCTTTGTTGCACTGCACACTACTGTTTATCACCTCCTTTCCTTGAAGAACCTTTTTTTTACTTGGCTTCTGTGATGCTATCATCTTTCCTGTTTCTCTTCCTGCTTGGTTACTTCCTGTTTTTCCCACCTGGAGTGCAGTGGCACAATCTCGGCTCACTGCAGCCTTAACCTCTTGGACCCCAGGGATGGTCCCACCTCAGCCTCCAAAGTAGCTGGGACCACAGGCACATACCATCACACTTGCTAATTTTTGTACTTCTTGTAGAGATGGAGTCTCACTATGTTGCCAAGGCCTGTTTCAAACTTCCTGGATTCAAGCGATCCTCCTGCCTTGGCCTCCAAAAGTGTTGGGATTACAGGCATGAGCCACTGAGCCCAGCTCCATTCCTTTGCTTTCTTTCAGGTCTTCATTTCTCTCTCTGTTCACTTCATTGGAAAACGTATTTGTTTCCACATACTCCATACCATTGTTGCTAGTATCTCCCACATAAAGTTGTCCTATTCTGTCTTATTTCCTTAATTACAAGCTTATATCCACAACTGTCTAGAGGACAAGTCCACTACCACCTGAAACTCAGTATGTCCCAAGTGAATGTGCATCTGCTTTGCCAGAAGAGAACATGCCTTATAGATGAATAAAGGAAGATATCTTTCATGTTTCTATCTACGGAATCACCATTCTCATCTGTTCAATAAATGAAATAAACCTTTCCTAGCAAGAGCCACCTTCTATCCCAGCAGATAAATTGTCGTCGTAGAAATTCTTACACAGTTCCAATTTTATACTTTCCTAACAATTTTCATTTCTATTCCATGCTTCCAAAGCCGATTCTACTTTTTTCCTTATGATTTATATGGTGAATTTCTTTTCTTTTCAGATGGAATCTCATTCTGTCACCAGGCTGGAGTGCAACGACACAATTTAGGCTCACTGCTACCTTCGCCTCCCAGGTTCAAGCAATTCTTCTGCCTCAGCCTCCCAAGTAGCTAAGAGTATAGTCACCCACCATCATGCCCAGCTAATTTCTGTATTTTTAGTAGAGATGGGGTTTCACCATGTTGGCTAGGCCAGTCTCGAACTTCTAACCTCCAGTTATCTGCCTACCGTGGCCTCCCAAAGCGCTGGGATTACAGGCATGAGTCACTGCACTTGGCCTGTATCTTGAATATAATCTAAATTGTAAAACTAATTGCTTTATATTCAATTTTAACATTTTAATTAGTTTTTAATGATAGTTTGTTTGTTGTTAAAAAAAAAAAAAAAAAAAAAGGAAAGAAAAGAAATGAAAGGGTAGACTACTGAGGGAAAAGTAAAATAAGAGTCCCCTTACATGAGCCCAGGAATTTGAGGCTGAAGTGAACTATGTGATCGCATCACTGCACCCCAGCCTGGGCAACAGACTGTCTCTTTAAAAAACAAGACAAACCAAACAAACAAACAAAAAGAGTCCGTGTGTTGACCCTCTAGCTTCATAATGAACAAAACAAACCCTGCCCTTCTGTCCTTGTGGAGCTTAGATTCTGGTAAGGAAAACAGGTAATTTACCGAATAATCACACAGACAAAGGTGAAGCCACAGTGTGATTAGTACACAGGCTATGAGATCCTGGCTAAGTGGCTGAGTCTAAGTCAGGAGAGGCTTCCCTGAGGAAGTGATGCTTTTAAGTGAGAAAAGACAAAGAGGAATGAACTAGTCAGAGAGGAGAGCAATCCAGTTCAGGAAGAGGAAAGGGCATGTACAAAAGCTCCTGTCCTTCATTCATCCTATCCCCACTTTTCAGCTTCTATGTGTACTCGGCAATCCAGGATTATCTATTTTTAAATGCCTCTTGTATTCCTAAATCTCCATTCTCAACACCAGTATCTTAATCGCAGTCCTTGTACTTTTGTACCTGGATTAATATAAAGAGACTCTAATTGGCTTTCATGATATTATTTATTTCTATTTTGCTACTAGAATAAAGTTTATTAAAACGTTAGAAATAAATTTCATGCTTTTGCTTAAAAATTCTCAACTTGCCGGGCATGATGGCTCACACCTGTAATCTCAGCACTTTGGAGGGCTGAGGTGGGTGGACTCTTTGAGCCCAGGGGTTCAAGCCCAGCCTGGGCAAAGCAGCAACACCCCGTCTCTCTAAAAAAAAAAAAAAAAAAAAAAAATCAAAAATTAGCTGGGCATGGTGACATGTGCCTGTAGTCCCAGCTACTCAGGGGAGGCTAAGATGGGAGAATCACTTGAGCCTGGGAGATCACGACTACAGTAAGTCAAGATGGTGCCACTGCACTCCAGCCCAGGAGACACAGACACCTTGTCTCAAAAACAAACAAACAAAAACAATAAAATAAAATTCTCAAGCTGATTAGAGGGAATCCTTGAGTAAGGGTCTGAAGTTGAATAAAACATCATGATCTTCAGGTGACCCAGCTTCATCTAATCATTTCTATTACAGAGACATTTCTGACTTCTTATGAATCAAATCCTAATAAAACAGATAATACCGTTTCTTTATCACCAGCCAATAAATAGAACACAGATAAAAGAATGAATACGTCTTGAAAGACATCTGTTTACTAGCCTATCCCTGCTTAACTCTGCAAGGTTCCTTTAAGCCACTTGGCCTTATTTCCCACTACCGAGCATTATAAACCCTCGATTCTAGAGAGGTTTGACTATCCCAGAAACACAGAATACGCTCTTCTGTCTCCATGCAGTGTTTTCTTGTCGCCAAACATGTTCTCCCCTCCCATCTTTTTAGACCTATCGTAATTTCATCTTCAGTCCTGGAACTCCCTCCCTTTTCTCCGGCGTGCCTACTACAGCTGTACTTCTTTCTAGCCACACTGTGTAATTTAGTCTTCATTACCTACTTGGGCAATCGTTGATTCTGTCCTGGACCTTGTCCCCCAAAATGCCTACATTTTAATGAGGTCGACATATGCTATACTCAGGTACAGAATGTTAAGAATATTGTAACTCTCAATAAATGCTTGTTGGTTAAAGACTCACTGTACTTTCTGGTAATCAAAAGTTGATCATCTACTAATTGAATTCATAACAGAGTTGTAATCAAGTGCTTGATTATATACTACATCATGCTTCACATATATTCAAATGCAGAAAATGATTCAAACAATCCCAATTCTGCAAGGAAAAAAAGTTGCTTATATATTTGTGCACAGAAAATGTCTAGACTTTATTCAAGAAGTTAACACAGAGGATGTATGGGAGAATGGAATTAAAAGAAGACACACATTTACTTTTCACTTTATATCCATCTATTCCATTTCAATTTTTAAAATATCAAACCTAAATTACTTCCATGATCATAAACTAATAACATTAACTAATAATGTTGAAGTAGAATATAAACCAAATGATTTTTTAAATTTTACTCATTCTGAATATACCTTATTTGGAATTCAAGTATACACTATAAAAAAATATAAGCCCAGATGTGGTGCCTCACACCTGTAATCCCAGCACTTTGGGGGGCGGAGGTGGGCGGATCACTGGAGCCCAGGAGTTTAAGACCAGACTGGGCAATATGGCGAAACCCTGTCTCTACAAAAAAAATACAAAAATTAGCCAGATGTGGTGGCAGGTGCCTGTAGTCCCAGCTACTTGGGGGCCTGAGGTGAGAGAGTCCAGGAGGTTGAGTCTACAGAAAACTATGATTGCACCACTCCATTCTAGCCCGGGCAACAAAGCGAGACCCTGTCTCAAAAAAGACCAAAAAGGTATATATATACTATGTGTGTACACACACACACACACACACACACACACACACACACATAGAATTCTCAGACTTCATAAACATGGAGTGAAAACAAAAATTGGAGTAGGCAAAGTATAAAACTTGAATCGCTAGAAGTTTGGAATATATTTGTAAACACACCTTGCCAAAGTTCATTTGTTGCTATGACACCATTAAGACATAAAATTCACTAAGCTCATTTTATCTAGTTTAACACAAGCTACAAGATAAACATGTGGTAAAAACACATGAAATGGCACCATTACCTGATTATTAAAGCTGACACAGAGCTTGGAAAACCTAATTGGATGTGGACAATCAGCCTTCAGATAAATATCAAACTGAATGGGAACATCAACATGAAAACTTGGAGCATGAAACTTGGCTTTGCATTGTACTAGAAATAAAACAAACAGGCTGCGTTACGCACAACCAGGTACCCAGGACCCACACACATCCTGTTAACCACACTTCTTCTTCAGAAAGACACATCTGCACTGACCATTCTTACTGACTTCTGCACTTAATGCATTTCAAGAGCCAAATGAGCTCACTTTTCATTATAAAAATAAAATTTAGGCTGAGCGCAGCGACTCACACCTGTAATCCCAGCACTTTGGGAGGCCAAGACAGGTGGATCACTTGAGGTCAGGAGTTTGAGACCACCCTGGCCAACATGGTGAAACTTTGTCTCTACTAAAAATTCAAAAATTAGCTGGGCATGGTGACATGCACCTATAATACCAGCTACTCGGGAGGCTGAGGCACAAGAATCGCCTGAACCCAGGAGGTGGAAGATGCAGTTAAGCTGAGATCGCACCACTGCACTCCAGCCTGGGTGACAGAGTGCAACTCTGTCAAGGAAAAAAAAAAAAAAATAGGCTAGGTGCAGTGGCTCATGCCTGAATTTCCAGCACTTTGGGAGGCTAAGGCAGGCAGATCACCTGAGATCAAGAGTTCAAGACCAGACTGACCAACATGGTGAAACCCATCCCTACTAAAAATAGACAATTTAGCCTGGGCCTGTAATTCCAGCTACTCAGGAGGCTGAGGCAGGAGAATCACTTGAACCCAGAAGGCAGAGGTTGCAGTGAGCCAAGATCGCACCACTGTAGTCCAGCCTCGGCAACAGAGTAAGACCCTGTCTCAAAAAAAAATAAATAAATAAATAAAAGAAAAGAAAATTTAAATAAATTATAGCTTCAAAACCGTCTTTAATTTTAAAGTCACAGCTGTTCCAGAAATGTAGATGACAAGATTTTAAACAAAAAAGAGCCATTTTGTTATTATTTCAAAATACCTACCTGGACAGTAAAGCACAAACGTTTTAAATAACTGTCAAGTGTTTCTAATAACACCTGAACTACAAATGAGCAAAGTACATTTTTAAGACATAAAAGTATTTAAGATCCTGACTATCTTTATAAGTCACTGAGGAGACACACACAAATCAGTTTATCTATAACATGAGTATACTTCGAAAATTCTTTCTTGATTTTTATATTTATTATTCTGCATCTATTCATTCTGTAGAAATAAGGTAATTTCTCTGAAATAATACTGTAGATGTTAGCTACCTACCAAATGGCACAAAGTCCTGTACTCCTATTGTGAAAATATTGCTGCCAGCCAGAGAAATTCGGTCTGCCCACAGCTTCTGAGCAGTTTTCACAGCTAAGACATCACAGTCAGGTTCTGGATCAGGACTTTCATTCTGCATCAACACAGTTAACATTCATTCAACTAGTTGAAAGAAAAACCACTAGATGCATTAGTTGATATAGATACACGTATACATATGCCTAATAACACACTTTATATAAACAATTCCAACCTACCATTAAAACATTTATGAGGTTCTTTTCTATCCGAGACTTCTGGTCATCTTTCAGAGTTGAAGCTAGTATGAAGAAAAAAGGAAAAACATTATAAGTACTTAAGTCCACTGCCCCATTTATTGCTTTAACAACTTCATATAATAATAAATAGCTCTTCTAAGATGACTAAGCATAGTGATTTGCCTGTAATAAAAGTAGTACTAGTTATCTGAGACTAAATTATTCTTTAAATTTTAAAAAGCTTAAAGGTGCTACGCAATTTTATGTATCAAGAATTTTACTCAAAAGAACATCAGGTTACCTCTGCCAAGGAGTTCTAGGGAGTAAGTAATGTAATCCTTTAATTGGGCCATGAGGTAGGAGCACTTCAGAGCCGTAGTTAATATAGACGTAAGCAGAGTCCACCATCCTTCACTACGATAATCACACATCACATAATCCAGCAACCTCGAAGAAGACAAAATGAAAGACGTGCTGAACCGGCTTCACAAGAAAGGGTTTGAAGAGTTCATGGAGAAAAAAGGACTTTTCTCACTTTACGTAAGTATAAACAAATCTTACTGAGATAGTTTAACAGGTATTCTCATATTTAGCTAAATGTGAGATTTCCTGAAACGCTGAAAAAGATTGTGCCGGCCAGGCGCGGTGGCTCACGCCTGTAATCCCAGCACTTTGGGAGGCCGAGGTGGGTGGATCACGAGGTCAAGAGATCGAGACCATCCTGGTCAGCACGGTGAAACCCCGTCTCTACTAAAAATGCAAAAAATTAGCTGGGCATGGTGGCGCGTGCCTGTAATCCCAGCTACTCAGGAGGCTGAGGCAGGAGAATTGCCTGAACCCAGGAGGCGGAGGTTGCGGTGAGCCGAGATCGCGCCATTGCACTCCAGCCTGGGTAACAAGAGCGAAACTCCGTCCCAAAAAAAAAAAAAAAAAAAAAGATTGTGCCATCAATGACACTTGAAAAAATATTACAGAAATGGAGTTTAACAGACATAGAAATAAATACGAAAATACTAACTTTTTCAACACTGATTTCTATTCCAATTTCACTTAAGGTAATCTAAATACTTGTAAAAGTAAATAGTGAACAGGACTCACTTCAAAGCTTTGGTATAATCCTTTGCGTAATAATATTCCTCTCCCATCTGAACCACTATAAAGGAAAAAAGATTTATGCATGTAATTTAAAAAGTCATTCAAAGTTGCATGCAATGGTGACGTTTGCGGGTACATACTTAGGTGACTTTTCATTCGTGGGCACTTATACTTCTTGAATTGTGCAACAGCATTGCTCAGAAGAGTTATGATCATTTCCTATTAGACAAAGTAGAGTGCAAAACATTTCAGTACAAATGTTTTTTTTTAATAGTGCAAAAAACAGTTTATACTGGACACAAAACTTACGGAGTGAACAACGTTTCTCTCCTTCAGCTGAATGGCAAGAATTCCCACCTTTTCTTTTTCAGGATCAGAAAGATCAAAACCTGTGTAAGAAAAGACACAACCCATCTTAGATCGCTCATTCAATACAAATCTTCACATGAACACTGTATGTGTATACTCCTTGAAGTCTTTATTTAATATAATCATTTCAGATTCTTGAACATTCTAGAATCTTAAAGGTGCTAAGAGGCAGCTTTATTAACATGGTAACTTCTCTGTGTTCTGTTCTGATGGGAACATTATTGAGCTCGATGTTCTTTTACCTAGTGGAATCAACCATCTGAAAAGCAGTATTGGTATTATCCTCTGTAGAGGATATACTCACTGGAGATTAAATCGTTTCCTATTCTTTCTTTTTTTGAGATGCGGTCTCACTCTGTTGCCCAGGTTGAAGTGCAGCAGTACAATCACAGCTTACTGTAGCATCAACCTCCTAGGCTCAGGGGATCCTCTCATCTCAGCCTCCCAAGTAGTGGGACTACAGGCATGTACCACCATTGAGGCTAATTTCTGTATTTTTTTTTTTTTAAGAGATGGGGTCTCACTACGTTGTCCAGGCTGGTCTCAAACTCCTGGCCTCAAGCAGTCCTTCTGTCTTGGCCTCCCAAAGCACTAGGATTACAGGCATGAGCCACCTCATCTAGTCAGGAATTTAACGGTTACAGTTCAATTGCTTGAATTAAATTATGTATAAAGCATTAAAAAGATATGCAGAGAAATTGTTTTTAAGGTAATACAAGTTAATGCTGTTTTAAAATGTGAAATCAATTGTTAAAGTTAACTGGAATTAAAATACTTAAATAGACAACAGTGGCATGTGTCATTTAAAACAACAGATGTCCAAATGCTGTATTTTTCCTTTTTTTGAGGTGAGATCTCACTATGTTGCCCAGGCTGGAGTGCACTGGCTACTCACAGGTGTGATCCTTCCGCCTCAGCCTCACAAGTAGCTGGGACTACAGGCATGTGCCACCACACTCAGATAAATGCTTTAATCACAGCAACATCTTTAATTAGAAAGTTACTCTAAGATGTAGTGATACATACAAAGCATTCTAAAAATGAAACAATGTTTAAAAAGCACACATTTTTACATCAACATAATTTTTTATGCATGTGTAGCCAATGGAAAATCTATGATAGCTATTGTTGCCTTTTGAGATTGAGAGGAAAGGATGGAGGGAAAAATTATTTACTTAGTATTCCTTGTCGCCATGATCTTTGTCCATAAAAGTCAAGAACGCCTGTTTGTGTTTCTAAGGGATCAGGATTGGGATACATTACAGAAGCCTGTAAATTAAAACACAAGCCTAAATAACAGTTTATGGAACCCACTGCAAATCAACTCTTGCCCAATCTTTGACTGAACAAAAAAGTTTTCATAAATACAAATACCAAACATACATTCAATTATCAAATTTGTGAATATTTTAACATAAATTTTAACAAAAACTAAGCTAAAATGTTTCATTTAATATTTAGGTAGTCTCATAAAAATTAATCCATCTGATTCTGACAAATGATTTCAAAGCAATTTCTTCACTTTCTTTAATTGTTGCTCTAATAAATGAGTAAAAATATATTACAGATTATACATGATATTTATTCCGCATGCATAGATGCTCTTTGTGTAAATGAAAACAATGTTACAAGGAGTTTTAAAGAGAAGATACTATTATCCTTCTTTATCACTTCTGTATAAAATCCTGGTATTTTAAGGGGATATTTTTGGCACCAGAACTGACAGATTTACACTGCTTTTTCTTCTTTATAACTTTTCCCTCTGAAACCAAGATGTAATACATGTACATTGTTGAAAAATGTAGAAAACATCCAAAAGGAAAAGGATGAAAATCTAAATTACTTATAAACCTACTACCAACTCCCACTGTTGAAATGTTATGTTATCATTTCCAGATTTCACATGCAAAAATTTGTTAATGTTTGATTTTTCAACCTGCTCCTTTCATTTAAATATATTCTGTACATTTAACCCAGCATTAAATATTCTTCTAGAATATTATTTTTCATGGCTGCTTGCTGGTGCATATTTTAACAAATTCCCTATAGCTATTCATCTTTCTATTTTACAATTAATAAATCTGTGAGAACAACTTTATAAATAAATCTTCTTACTTATCTCAGAATTTATTAGCTGCCTTAGTATTCCCAAAACTTCAATTCTAGGTCAAAAGATATGCATAATTTTAAAGCTTCTCAAATTATTTGATGAAAATATTATTTTACATTTTAACCAATGGTATTTATTAATGCCCAGTTCCTTATATTCTTATAAAACCTAGTTTTAATCACTTTTTAAAATAATGTGTTCAAATTACAATATGCCAAACTTTAGAAATATAATACACACAATAAAATTATAAATCATACAAATAACATGGTAAAAAGAGTTAAATCATCATTTTAGAGAAAAAAAATCTGTTCACTTTAAGTATTAATATGCAAACTATTTGTTTTTGGAACAGTTTAAAAAATAGTACTGCTGATAATATTCACTCATCTTCAGAGAAGAGAACCGAAGGTTTTAAGTAAAAATAAACTGATGTAACTATACAAATATAAATGTATTTATATACGTATACCACGTTCTTAAAGATGTTTATAGGAAAACTGATATTGAAATGTAATCATCCAAGGAAAAGGCAAAATGAAACATCAAGTTTAAGAAACTATGCAATCAACACTTTTCTTCAAACAGTCTTAAAGAGTCTCCACACGGAAGGCCAGGCAGGGTGGCTCACGCTTGTAATCCCAACACTTTGGAAGGGGAGGAGGGTGGCTCACCTGAGATCAGGAGTTCAAGACCAGCGTGGCCAATATGGCAAAACCCCGTTTCTACTAAAAGTACAAAAATTAGGTGGGCTTGGTGGTAGGCACCTGTAATCCCAGTTACTCAGGAGGCTGAGGCAGGAGAATCACTTGACCCTGGGAGGTGAAGGTTGCAGTGAGCTGAGATTGCGCCACTGCACTCCAGCCTAGGCAACAAGAGTGAGACTCTGCATCAAAAAAAAAAAAAGAGTCTCCATGCAGGAAAACCCAGGAGGAGAAAGAAGTCCATAGACCCTCTCCAGTGGGTCAAAACGGATTTCCAAACTCCAACAGCAGTGATCACAGAAACAAAACAATGGATTTACTGTGTGACAAAGATGAAAATGTAGCTTTTATTTTAAAGTAATTTTCTCTTATCTGAACAGTCACTAACTTACTGCCAAACATAAATTAATTCTTCAAAGAAAAACTTCTGCTCAATCCACAGGTAAAAATAGAGTATTCAAACTAAAATCAAAAATCACTATAATTCCTGAAACTATAAAAAATAAAAGCAAATTAAATTTAAGGACTTGAAAAAAAATTATCAACACCAATCAGTTCTAGCTTCTTTCAAGAGAAGAATAACTCTTCTACATGCTGGATAATACGGAGTCGGTAACTTACCTCGTGGTTACAGAGGGTTTTTGCAAGCTGTTTCCGCTCCTGGGCATAGTATGCCGCCTGCTGGTAATAGAAACCAGGATTCTGAGTTTGAATAGCTGTTAACCCTAACTTAATAGCTTCATCAAATAAATCTCCAAAGGCCTGGAATCTTAAAGAAAAAAAGAATCAAGAAGTAAAAAAGAATGAAAAGAAAAAGAAGCTTATTTCTGGTAATTCATCCTGGGAAACTTAACTTCAGCAGATTGTATTACAATGGTGCTATTGATGAACAGTTAATATTTGTTGCAAACTTCTCTGTACATATTAATACACAGTAATTATAGGTTACAGATAGGTTCTATATTTAAGTCATCTAACAAGTCTTTATAAATATACCATCAAACTGGATCTCAACATAGATCCTACCACTTAAATACACCCAACTTTCTGGGAACAATTCCATTTTAGCAATTTTTAAACATCATTCTCAAACAATAAGCTCCATGACAGCAGGAATTTTGTTTACTGCTATATCTCTAGGACCCAGACATTTGGTAGAGACTCAATAGATACATGTTAAATGAAAAAGATGGTGCCATCAATTAAATAATTTCCATTAAGGAACTGTATATACAATAGCAATGTATAGTATTACCAGCAACATACCTATGCTAACATCATCAAAAACCTATTTAGTGACAAAAACCCTGGTTCAGTTTTAGAACCAAAGTCCATGCTATTTCTCCAAATACTATATATTATCTTAAAAATAGTCTAAAAGTACAATGTAAAACATACTGTTTAGACATCCATGCAGCATGCTCAAAAGACAACTCTGCACTTCCAATCTTTTTCTTACAGAAGTCGATGTGTTTTCGGAACTGAGCAATTGCATCCAATGGGGTATTGTGTTGAAAACACAGCCTACAGATCTGCAAAATGTAGAATTGATCCCAAAATAAATGAAAAAAAATAAAAGTCAAAAGGCATTCATTTAAAAACTATTTTGAGAACACGAAAAAAAGACCATGAAATTTCCACCTCCTTATCAGAATGGTTATGCTAAAACCAAAGGTTATATATCCCTTTTAGAATTGAAATAACTCATGTTTGTACATAATTTATTCTATACCTTAGAAAAGCTTTTAAAAAATATGGAATAGAATTTAAAAATTATCCCCAAAGAAGAACACACAGACGGACTAAAATAAACTATGTCTAACAGATGATTGAGAAAAGGTAGATTAATTTTCAGTTTTAGATTTGCCATAAAGCTAAAAATTTTCTGTAGCACAATTAAAGCAAAGTTACCTCCATATCAAACGAATATTACAGAAAGTCTTGAAAACTTGTGTCTGGCATACTATTTCAAAATAGTAATAACACACATGTATTTGGGACAAAAGGAAAAAAGGAAGAAAGAAAGTCTAAATTTATTTCCATGTGCTTGTACAATTTTCACTTTTATTTTTTAAGTACAAAGGAACACATGAAAAGTCAGTCTCTCATCCATTCCTGTGCCTCAGCCATCGAATTTCCCTTTCTAGAGGCAATCAGTTTCTGGCATATGCTTCTTGATATATTCTACAGATAAGCATGTGTGTGTATTTCTATAAAACTATTGTTTCTGTACAAATAACGACATCATACTAAATATGCTAATCTGTGACTTCATTCACCTTGATATGGAATGATATTTTGGGTATCATTCCATATCACTACATAGAGCTGCCTCATTCTCAACAGCTTTTAACATTCCTTTGTTTGCAGTTATAATTTATATAATCAATCACTTATAACTGGGTTGTTTCTAATCTTTTCCTATTAGAAGAAGACAATGAATTAAAGCATCTATTTGGCCATACATCATCAACACAATGTCAGGCATCTTTAAGATTAATGTGAAAAAACTAAAAGCAAACCAAATAGCCCTTGCTTGACTTCTGAGGGCATCTATTCTTATGATATACAATCTTAAAATAAAATGTTCAAACAGTAGGTATAAAAGTTTCCTCTAAGGTGAATAGACACACCTTTTCTGTGTCATTAAACCAAGAAGGAGTCACATAGTTCTAATAAGTTTTATCTTTTAAAACTCAGTAATACAGGCAACTTTCTTCCCAACAACTCTTCCTTGCTCCCACTTAAAAACAAATAAACAAAAACAAAAAAGCCATCCAAACTTTAAAAACCTCTAGAACTTATCAATTCAAAATACAAGAATCAAGGCTCTTTCTGAGAAAAAGGATATAAAAGGGGAGAGCATAATTAATCAAATACTAACTTTTCCGAGCAAAAAACTAATTTTGGTGTTCAAATTTTAAGAAGATAATATTTAAACACAAATTCCCTGTATTTGGTATTACCTTGTAGTTTATAAATCCTGCCATAGTCTTAATTTCCAGAATATTAGTTTCATGGGCTCTCAATTCGTGTACAAGATTATAGGCGGTCCTATAATTCCTAAATGGGGAGGGTGGTTAGTAATGACATAAATTAGTTTAATAAAAGATTTCTATGAAGAAAATCACTAGAAATAACAGAGAATATTTACTCAACATTTCTAAAGCTCGACAGCTCAATAATAACATACATATCAATCTCTGATTTCCTGAAAAATGAGTTATTGGTTTATAAATACATGTGAGAGGAATCAATGATTTCATAAACAACAGAACCATGACATGTGAATTGCTCTGTCATTAACATCTGTCAATAACAAACACATAACTTAAAAAATGAAATTGGACAACTGTCCAGAAAAAAATCAGCATTCTGTTAAAAAACATAAGTACTTTAAAGTACCATTACAAGCTCTCAAAAAAATAGAAATTGTATTAGCAAAGGTGGTATCAAGACAGTACATGTCAGCCAGGCACGGTGGCTCAAGCCTATAATCCCTGCACTTTGGGAGTCTGAGGCAGGTGGATCACCTGAGGTCAGGAGTTCAAGATCAGCCTGGCCAACATGGTGAAACCCCATCTCTACTAAAAATACAAAAATCAGCCGGGCATGATAGTACATGCCTGCAATCCCACCTACTCGGGAATTTGAGGCAGGAGAATCCCCTGAATCCAAAAGGCAGAGGTTGCAGTGAGCCGAGATGGTGCCACTGCACTCCAGCCTGGGTGACAGAGCAAGACTCCATCTCAAAAAAAAAGCACACGTCAACAGGATTTAACCCCAAGTATCTCTACAGATTAAGCAGATATTAGTGGTTTCAGGTAGTCTACAGAGGAGGGGAGAATGTCCTTAGGGCAGCCCTCACTGAAGGAAAAGGATGGTGAGAAAGGAGGGCCTGGTGGGAACCGGGCCTACCTTGCACAGGGGAGGTAATGAGAAAATCTCAAAACAGGCTTTTCATAGAAAAAATCTGTTCGTAATTCTCCAGGTAAATATATTTCTTTCCAGAATTATTTTTGAACAGAACTGAAATTGAAAGGTTTTGTTTTTTTTTTGAGTCGGAGTTTGTCTCTTGTTACCCAGGCTGGAGTGCAGTGGCGCGATCTCGGCTCACCGCAACCTCCGTCTCCTGGGTTTGAACAATTCTCCTGCCTCAGCCTCCCGAGTAGCTAGGACTACAGGCATGTGCCACCATGCTCAGGTAATTTTTGTATTTTTGGTAGAGACGGAGTTTTACCATGTTGACCAGGATGGTCTCCATCTCTTGACCACCCGCCTCGGCCTCCCAAAGTGCTGGGAGTATAGGTGTGAGCCACTGCGCCCGGCCGAAATTGAAGGTTTTAAACTAATACCATCCCTAAGAATGAACTAGAGGCCAGGCAAGATAGCTCATACCCAATTCCCACTTTGGGAGGCTGAGGCGGGCGGATCACCTGAGGTAAGGAGTTCGAGACTAGGCTGGCCAACATGGTGAAACCCTGTCTCTACTAAAAATATAAAAATTAGCTGGGTATGGTGGCAGATGCCTGCAATCCCAGCTACTCGGGAGGCTGAGGCAGGAGAATCGCTTGAACCTGGGAGGCAGAAGTTGCAGTGGGCCAAGATAGTGCCACTGCACTATGGCCTGGGCAATAAGAATGAAACTCGGTCTCAAAAAATAAAAAAAGGAGCTACATCCAAGACAGTTATATGAAGTCGCTGAGATTCAGAAAACACAACTTGGTGCTCTGGTACTTAAACATCTCGAAACAACAATAAAAATTAGATGTTTCTGCAATAATCCTGTGAATAATGGAATTGTTTTTACCAGTTTCTATTTTTCTTTCCCCTCTTCAATTTTGGGATAAATAGCTGTTTTTAATACCTTTGTCTTCAAAAATCGCGTTAAAGCTACAAAAAGGTCAAGTTTCATTAAATTCTCCTTGGTAAAGGCAAACGACTAAAATGTTTAACCCCTGCCAACACATCTGTAACTGATCCTCAAGGCTCTAAGCAGAGACTTCAAATGGAAAATGATGCTACTGACAGATATTATCAAAATTTTTTTAAATTAAAAAAGTAATTGAACTTAATAAATGTACTAGTATACAAACCTATAAAAATCAACAGTCTGGTGCTCCCTTCGGCTGCACATATACTAAAATTCGAGCAATACAGAGAAGATTAGCATGGCTCCTGTGCAAGGATGGCATGCAAATTCGTGAAGAGGTACATTTAAAAATTTATTTTGGAAAAAAAAAAAGTCTGATTTAGATAATGTTTCATGTATATTATACTTTGGAAATCAGTCTCTTAACACAAGAATTTTACTGTGTATACAAATTAAAAATAGTCAAGAAGATGGGGAAATTTTAATATAATATTTCTGTGGCTCATAAAATTTAATCAAATGAGAAAGCTTTATGACACAATGAAAATTTACTTCCAATAAAAAAAAGAAAATTTAAAAAATAAACCTAAAATATTATATTCCATTCATCTCTAGACTAGTCCCTAAATCTAACCAATATGAACACTTTAGAATTAATTATAGTTTGGGTGAGATTCAGAAATTGCCATTATATGTTATTGATAATATAAAAATAGGAAACATTTAGTTTGAAAGCTTAACAACTTACTTCAGCGCATTTTGTGTATCTTGTTTCAACTCACTGAAGAAAGCTATTTTGAACTGATGCCTAACAAACAAAAGCTAAAAAAAGACAAAAGAAAAAATCACTATTATTTTACCTATTCAATTTAAAATGTGAAAATTATATTAATGTTTATTACAAGAAGACATAAAAGAATGAAGAAAAACACTCAAAACTCAAATCCAAGAATCATTCCCACAAGTAAGGGTAGTTAAGAAGTCTATACAAATCTACCTTTAAGAACTTTAAGTGCAAGAGTTTAAAACCAAACTTTAGGAGCGAAGAGTTTAATTTAACAACAAATTAATTTTTAAAAAGCTTTAAAAAATACTTTAGAAATGCTGAAACCATTTAAAACATCAAAGTATTAAGAATATACAATCATCACCTCAAAAATAATAATAATCCACTCTAGAATGCTTCTTTTATTGCAAAAATCACGTACCTGGTGTGTTGTTTTATTCAAAAATTCTTTATGAGATTTCACTCTTCTGATCTCGGTGTAGTAATAAGTCTGCGCATGTTCATAAAAGGCATTTTCCAATCTGTAAAAAGCAAAACCAAACCAGCATTTAAATCTTAAAGTTATTTTAAACCAAACTTTTCAAGAATCGTATTTGTGAGACCTGAAAGTAAAATGGTGACAGAAATATCTATTTTACGTTATGATTAAGACAAGGTGAAGCAAAAGATAACCTGAATTTTCAGATTAAAAAGTATAAAAATAAGACTACCCAAAAACCATTTTAAATTATTTATAACACAAGATATAATAAATAAAAATACTTTTCTCTAATTCATAACAATTTGGTAATCTCTCTCTTTTTTTTTTTTTTTTTTTTTGAGACAGGGTTTGGCTCTGTCACTGCTGGAGTGCAGTAACACATCTCGGTTCATGGCAACCTCCACTTCCCCAGTTCAAGCAATGCTTGAATCTCAGCCTCCTGGGTAGCTGAGACTACAGGCACATGCCACCACACCTAGCTAATTCTTGTATTTTTAGTAGAAATGAGGTTTCACCATGCTGGCCAGCCAGGCTGGTCTCCACCTCCTGACCTCAAGTGATCTACCCACCTTGGCCTCCCAAAGTGCTGGGATTAGGATTAGAAGCGTGAGCTACTGCTACTGGCCTAAAATTTGGTAATCTCTAAAAGTACATTCACCCCTACTATTTTATATTTTTATAAAAATTCTGAAAAACAAATTATTAAATACTCAATTAGATTTCACTTTTTTCATGATTTTAGTATTTAGTATTTAAAAGAATAAGAAAACTAATGGGGAAAGAACCAAAACTGAGAACTGGCAAATAAGGTGAAAACACTTGTGTGACTTAAATCCCCCTTCATTCTATAACTTTGAGATTACATAGGAACAATAAAATCTGACCAGAGATAGATACACAACTCAAGCTTTCTTTGGTGAAAAGAAATTATCAGGAGTCATCTGCCTAGGGCATGAAAGAAAGCAGAACTTAACCAGATAAAAGATGAACTTAAAAATCAGATATTACATTTTAAATTTGATTTTCTAGGTTAAGATTTTTTTTTTTTTTTTTTTTTTTGAGACAGGGTCCTGCTCCGTCGCTCAGGCTGGAGTGCAGTGTGCCATCAAGGCTCACTGCAACCTCACCCTCCTGGGCTCAAGTGATCCACCCACCTCAGTCTCCCGAGTAGGTGGGACTACAGGCATACATGACCACACCCAGCTAATTTTTGTATTTTGTGTAGAAACAGGGTTTCACCATGTTGCCCAGGCTGGTCTCAAATTCCTGGGTTCAAGTGATCCATCTGCCTTGACTTCCCAAAGTGTTGGATTACAGGCATGAGGACCCACATCCAGCCTTTTAAGATTTTTCTATTTTCAAAACTGCAGTTTTAAAAATGTTAAAATATGACAAAATTAGATTCTAACCTTGAACCAAATAATGTGTGAAGGAATGTATTAACCTAAGCTGTCCTTTAAATTTTGCAAATGGGTAGCAACAAGGCACTGACTAGAAAGTTTAACATTACGGTAGCCAGAAATATGCCTACGGGCTATTCTGAATGATTAAAAAAAATATCCTTCTCAACAGAGAATCAGTATTATTAATCTAGACTGTCTCAGTAAATATTAAAGATAAGCATGGTTTTAGTTTTCAAGCTGAATGTGTACTCAGAGATAAAACACCTGTTAAACAGTCAATACAGAGGACTGACAGCAAGTAGGCTTGCCAAGTGCTATTCTTTCCTCTAAACTGAGGGAAAGAGTGAAATCCTTCCCTCTCTTTAACTCTGTAACTGGCTACAGAGATATCGCTGGATACAGCATAAATGGTGTAAGACTTTGACTTTTTAATTCATGTACTTCATTATTATTTGAGGTTTATTTGGAAAAAGCCTTAAACAGCTTTAAAAACATAAGTAAATAAATGACAGATCTAGTCAAGACATAAAGGGGTTAGTGAAAAGAGCAATTCTTTTAGCAGATACTCAAACATTACACTTCTAAGGTAACACTGAACAATTAAGAACACTCTTTTAAGGAAAGAGATCTTGAGTTTTCTTTATTGCACATTTAAAAAATCCAAATGATTCAGTCTTCCCATTTCATGATTTAAACTAGCTAAACTTTAAATGTCCATGCTTTTTAATGAAGTCCTCTGTCCCAAATAATCACGACTTCCCTCCCACTAATCCACACTTTCAAGCACAGTGGCAGGCCTTCCTTTTCCTTAAAATCTTCCCAGATCACATTTATTCATTTCTTCTCTGAAATCCTATAGGACTTACAAGCTATATTACAGAATGTACACTTGCAGTGCTCTGTGGGATTTAAAATGCATGCTTTCTGTCTCCACAATTAAATCAGCTTCTTTATGAAGCTCAGGTTTATGAACCTGATCAACTTGTTTTGAGCTAGACACGATGCACATGTACATACATACACACACATACGCACACAGTAAACTTTTAATTACAAGCAGTTCCCTATTCTAACTTTTTATTAGAAGACATGTGATATTTACTCTTAGCAATACTCATACAAAGATCACCTGGAGTCTATTTTCTGTTACCACTGCACTGGCATATCAAGTAAGCATATTTTTCAGACCATACAAACATATATTTTAGCCATTGCAATTGAACTTTGAAAAACTAGCACTGACTCCAGCAAACAGCGCTACCAGTTTTCAGGTGAAGGACATTTAAGCTTCTAAGTTCCAGATGCAGATTTATGTCTAAAAGGAAAGAGGTGTTCCTGAATTTCGTAAAGTACGTAAGAGGCAAAGATATTCACACAGCTTTGGAAGACAAGAGGCGGAACTACTGTATACTTAAAAGGAAGTTATCATAGTAAAGGTGGATCCTGTGTTAAAGGCTGAAAATAAAGGGCATAAGAGCAGAAGCAGGGGCAGCAGTTGGGGCTGGGGGGTGGAGGGCAGGGTCCTTACATCCTTTTGTCCTTTCCCCTCCAGGCTTTTCAGTAAAGGGAGACAGAAGGGAGAGTTAAATACTGCTTCAATACTGTCCCACCCAGACAAATGCTTACAGTAGTTCCAACTTTTAATTTATGGAAAGACAAAGATCAGAGACAAAAATCTAACTGCATGGATCTGTACATCTGCATATGTTGTTTTGTATTTTTAACAATGAATTCAGGCCCACTGAAATTCTTTGCTTGAAATAATTTTAAACTAATTAGAAAACTACTTCCAGGCCTGGGAACAGTGGCTCATGCCTGTAATCCTAGCACTTTGGGAGGCTGAGGCAGGCGGATCACCTAAGGTCAGGAGTTTGAGACCAGCCTGGCCAATGCAGTGAAACCTCGACTCTACTAAAATTACAAAAATTAGCCGAGCTTGATGGTGCATGTCTGTAGCCCCAGGTACTCAGGAGGCTGAGGCAGGAGAATCGCTTGAACCTGAGAGGCAGAGGTTGCAATAAGCCAAAATTGCGCCACTACACTCCAGCCTGGGTGACGTAATGAGACTTCATTTCAAAAAAAAAAAAAAAGAAAAAGAAAAAGAAAAGGGAAAAAGAAAACTGCTCCCAATATTTTCCAGAGCCACTTGTGGCACGTCCTCTCTAAAGCACAACTTTCCTCTGAAAAGCATCTGCTTTCTTACTCATTAATAAAATGTCACCTTTGTTTTGAAAGAAAAAGTATGTGTGTGGTTTTTAAACAGTTGCTAGTTAGCATGACACAGGCAGCCTACTGCCCTAAGAAGAAAGGTCTGAAAATTGGGAACACTTACTTTTTAATAAAAGAAAAATTCTTACTCATATCATTAGCTTGGACAACTCATGTATTTTGCTTTGAAATGATCAGCAAACTTCTCCAATACAAAAGATTTTCACAATCATTCCCAATGGATTACAGAAGTTTTAGAAAGATTCTAACATTTTGACACTTAAAAAAACACAAATGAAATCATTGTAGCATGCATATGTAACACATCGAAAGGCTCTGAAATCGCAGGAATAAGCTGCCATCAGAAGCTCCACTACTTCCCTCCCAGATCAATGAGATGAAGATTTCCTGATATTCAGCTTACTCTCTCTCTTATGATAAAATACAAATATGAAAAAAGGGTGTATGCTCCCTTAATTCCAGTGGACTGTCTTATGCACTCCCCATCTCTCATATCCACATACTGGAGATCAAGGACCCAGCGCACTTGCTTTTTCATCCGTTATTCTGATAATGTACTTCTTATTTAAATGTTTCATTATCCCCAATAAAATCACAAGTAGTTAAGGGTAGAGCCTCATTCTCTGTTTCCCTTGAATCCATGACCACACTAAATTTGAAAGTGGAGGAGGGCAGGATCGCTAAGGGTTAAGGCAGGGTTCTCAAGCTCAGCACTGCTGACATTTTGGCCAGGTCGTTCTCTGTTGTGCACGGCTGTCCTGTACCCTGTAGAGTGTACAGCAACATCCCTGGCCGCTACCCACCAGACGCCAATATGGCAACCCCCTCAGTTGTGGCAATCATAAAAGTCTCCAGGCATTACCAAACAGACTCTGGAAGGTAATACTGCTTGGTTGAGAGTCACCATGGCAGGGTATAGCACAGAGGACAATGGCTTTCTAAAGGCTTCATTGAACTAAGCCTTAAACGTTGAATAAAAGAGAGCCCAGAAAAGGGGAGCTGGCAGGTGGGCATGAGTATGAAAGCATCTAAAAGGAACAGCGCTGTGAACAGGGAGGCACTGAAGAGCAGAGTCAGGGGGAGGCGGCCAGGCCTGGAACGCTGAGGCCAGCTGTGATGCTGGGATGAGCCTCAGTGGAAAGAAAGGCTGCCTGCGTGTGCTCCCAGTTGGCCCTCTCTTCTCTCTGTTCCCTATTGGTTATATGTTTGCATTTAAGAAACAAAACTCATTTATTCTTTTCCTCGGAATTCCAAGCAATTATCTCAAAGTTATCCTTGGCGCCACTGATTTGATTTTCCGTGGTGTGAATTCTACTGTTAGTCTGAAGAGTTATTCTGCTAATTGCAATTAAGTTTCTTTGCAATTCATCTTTTCATTGGATCCTATTCCTTTGCATATTCTCTGCTAAATGTATGCTTCTTTCTTAGAAGCCTAGTCATTTATATACAGGTGAGGCCAGATAACCTCCTGCAGTGGATCATTTTCAGAGGTTTGCTTCTGAGAAAGAAACAAATGCAAGACAAGCAATAATCAAAAATAAATAAAGCTTCCCATGAGTTAAAGAACACTTAACGCAGAATGAAAAGGAAAACCATTTTACAGTGAAATTCAATGAAAATATTCATATCTAAATACATCCTAGCATAACACGTACTACTACGAAACTTCTTTGTAACAATAAATGCTATGAAACAGTGAATAATGGTCACATAGTTTTTGAGGTAATGTTGTGTCTCCAGGTAATCTGCCCTTTACACACAAGGGCTTTATAAAGATATTTAAGATATGATAGAGCTCAGACCCTTCCTAAAAAAATTACATGGATACATCAACATAACAAGAATGAAGCAAAAAGAGGCCAGAATGGGATGGAGACACTCACAAAAAAGGACACACATGTCACTCAAGGACATGAGGTAATTACTGCAAAGTACAATGGAAAAACATACCAACTTTTTTCCTTTAAATAAAGTTGACCTAGATGCATGTATGGAAGAGTGTTAATGAGGTGATGTTAAGTGGAAGATCACTGTGTACCATATGATCACATTTATGTTTTTGTGTTTGTGGGTGTGGTGTGTATACTATAAAGAAATACATACAGCTAGTGCTTGACTTACGACCACGATTGGGACCGGCAGACCGGTCGTAATATGATTTAGTTGTAAGTTGAGTAGGCTATATGTACAGTTGAAATGGTGCACGCGGAGATGGTAGTGCTGCCAGAAGCTGGTCTGCACTGTCGTACGCCCAGCTGGGCAACATTTGTGCTGCCAGACGCAGCACAGTCGTGGCTAGTGATTGTGGTCGTAAAGTCGAATGGTTGTAAGTTGCATAGGTCGTAAGTCGATCAATACCTGTATATCTGTTCCTATATAAAAAGGTATTTTTTGGAAGGAAACTTAAGAAACTGTTGATATTGGTTACCTCAGGGAATTGGAAAAGGTTAAGAATTTGACAAGGAGATTTTTATTTTTACATTATTATTTTACATTATTGTTTTTCATGAACATGTTTAAAAAAAAATAAATGGGACTAAGCTACCAATTTCTCAATTCTTAATAATGCAAAAACCAAACCCCTAAAAGACCCCTACTTACCTTATTATATAACCCACGAGGTGGTCAGTGTGCGGCAGGACAAACAAAGACTTTCCTGAGAGTTCACATGCATTGCATAGAGCTGCAGCCCTTTCTGAAGCAATGACATCTTCTCCTGTTGATAATCCCCATAAAGATGAAAAAAGAAGTAAAATAACGAATGTAGCTTCCTAAGTCTGAAAAAATATAATTAGGAATAAAAATCCATACAACTTTTCATCATACCAACAGGACTCAAGGGCTCCTTGAGAGCTGTGTGTGGTTCTTAGAAGTTACATAGCATATGCCTTTTAGGAAAACACTGGAATTTTCTACTGAGCCAGGATAGGTAGCCAAGTAATGCCAACAGACATACCACATAACTATTTCAAAAAACATAACTAAAAATGGAAGCAATAATTCATGAAAGAAGACTCCAAAATCATTTTGAATGCTGTAAGTCTCAACACAGACTTACAAAAATGTATTTTGGCCTAAAAAGTCTGGGAAAGTGGAAGTAAGAATTTGAAACTAAGACATTTTCCTAGAGGAAACCACAAATCCTATAGTCCTTTTCTTTGTCCTACAGAAAATTAATGAAAAAATTTCATATAAGGAATACAGTTTCAAATAGATCTTAGATAAGCAAATTACAATCCTTTTGGAAAGCTTTGGAAGCCAAAAAAATTATATTCTTGTAAAAAAATTCAAGCGAACTAATCATTTTGTGAATTAAACATCCCTTCCCATGTCGCCTACATAAGAAGACAAGTGGAACCAGGGAAACAGGATTCAAGATTTGCATTTTTTACTACAATTTTTTTTTTTACAATAAGCATTTACTCATGTGTCATTGGTGCCTTTTGTTTATTTATTTATTTTTCTAAGACAGAGTCTTATTTTGTCACCCAGGCTGGAGTGCAGTGGCGCGATCTCAGTTCACTGCAACCTCCGACTCCCGGATTCAAGGGATTCTTCTGCCTCAGCCTCCCAAGTAGCTGGGACTACAGGCATGTGCCACCACACCCAGCTACTTTTTTATTTTTAGTAGAGACAGGGTTTCACCATGTTGCCCAGGCTGGTCTCGAACTCCTGACCTCAGGTGATCTGCCTGCCTCAGCCTCCCAAAGTGCCTGGATTACAGGTGTAATCCAATAAAAATTGGAGGTATAAAATAATTAATTAATTAATTAATTAGACTTTTGATACCTGGGGGCAAAGGTGTTTTCTTCTGAATCAGAACCACTGCAACTTTTGTATTTCTTCCTTGTAAGCTTTGCCTGCAATGAAAGAGCAAGAATAAAATTAATTATTTTAACTTAAAAAAATATATCCATGACTTCATATAAAATACAATCTTGGTAATACAACTGAAGACAAATTTCAACTAAAAAAACCAAGATCAGAGGAAACCTTTGCCTGCACACAAAGCACATATATGCCACAATGATTTGAATTCTAAAAGTATGATCTCACATCTTCTAATCTTAAAAATCTGCCTTAAAAGCAAAAGATTAATACATACTTTTAGGTAAAAGTGACAATACAACTTAATTCTTTATGGTGATACATTGCAAAGTAGTCATCCAAAAGAAATAATTATTTGAAATTGAAATAGTGATAAAGCAAAGTGTTCCCAAAGACTAAACAGTATATTACTCTGTCTCCAAGAAAGATAATAAATGCAAGAAAAACATTTGGAAATTCAGACCAATTAGTCTTCTAAATTTCTTCACATACCCAGCATTATAGTCAATAATTATGCTACCCGTGAGGAAGCGAACAAGATTCATTGGAGGTCAATCCCCCAAGTGACCACTGCAGTCTCAACAGTACTCCGTTGCCTTCAAGAAACGTTAGTGAATAACACACATGTGCAAACTGACAGCCACCCTGACAGAGAAGATCATACCTGACTATTTCCACTCTGGTGGCGCACTCAGACTGCTTTTCTTTCCACTGAGGCTCATCCCAGTCCAGTTCATAGAATACAACCACCAGGGCTGGCACCAGATTCAGATGCTTATTCATCCAGCCAGTCTTTAAGATCCCTTTAGGAATGTACCACTCATAGGAAGTTCTCTGCAAACATTGGCAAAAGTTGAAAAGTTACCTGACGGCAACAGAAACCACCTGTTACTGAGTGCCAGGCACTTCATGTGCACTACTCTCATTTAATATACACACCTCCCATTTTTGATTAGGAAACTCAGGCTTACAGGTTCAGTAAGAATTAGTAAGTGCTGAAGGTGGAATCTCAACCCTAGAGAAGCTATACTTCCCATTTAAAGAATGACTAAAGCCAAAGAGTTTCTATCAGCCTCATAACTAAATGCATAAAATGATGATGCATGTCTAATGCTGTCAAGGGTCTCAAATACTTTGTTAAAAAAAAAAGTAGCCCATTTCCAGGTAAATTCTACTTATATTGTTCACCATTTCAGCTTCTGTTCTTATATAACTTTTAAAATAAAATATTACCTAAAATCCAATATGGCTTTATTTCAAAGACATACTGCCGTGATGGCATTTCACCTCACTTGTGGATGAAGTAAAAGGCAGAGAATAGTTCTTAAACATAGAAGCCTAACAGGAGCCGCTTGGGTCTGAGCACTAAGTGCCGCAGAGTGGGAAGGCACGCTGTAGATTTCAGTGTCAGCCCTGAAGAACGCAGTGGAAACCTCACATTCCTTCCAAATCACCCACGCTGACTCAGACTACTCCACTTCATGTTGCTGAAGTGTCTACCACCAGTAATGAGGTCAGTAAGGAAGCCTGACACAAAACAACATGGGATTCAGACACGAGCTGGGAACAGATAAATGAAAAGTAGCCTGAATTCGAGCACTGAGAAAGGAGAAAAAGGGGCTTGTGGTCTGGGACCCTGCCTTCCTGACACAAACATGACACTAAAAAAAAAAATCATCAGGCTGAAGTTCGAGACCAGCCTGGCCAACATAGTGAAACCCCATCTCTACTAAAATACAAAAGTTAGCCAGGTGTGGTAGTGGGCACCTGTAATCCCAGCTACTTAGGAGACTGAGGCACGAGAATTACTTGAACCCCAGAGGCAGAGGTTCCAGAGAGCCGAGATCATGCCATTGCACTCCAGCTTGGGTGACAGAGTGAGACTCCATCTCAAAAAAATAAATAAATAAATAATAAAGAAAGAAAAATAATCGTGAAAAGGCCAGGGCTGGGGTGCTATTACTTGTACAACTTCAGACAGCTCAGTTTCTAGGGCTGGGTATATGAAACACTGTCTCCTGTGTGTGGTTCTCAAATACATACACACCAAATAATCAGCTGGTGACCAAGTCCTACATTCTCAGAGACGAACTGGGGCGGCCTGCAATCTACATTTTAAATAAATTCCCCAGGTTATGATGACACATTTGGTCCAGAGACTACTGTGTCACAGACACTGCTCTAGGACAAAAGAAAAAAAAAGATATGGGTCAGAAGTAAAAGGGTTTTATCACCTGACTTTCAAATTAACCTCATAAGATTATGATAAATAAAAATCAACCAATATACATAAACTGCTTAAAACGGTAAACTGCTTTACTGCTTTTTTGCAACTATATTAGCTATTAGTGATACTACCATCATGACAGTAATTACTGTCTAAGGTAAAGCAGTGTCTACTATGTTGTTTGCCTTAAAAGTCAGCTTTGAACTTAATACCTTTCTTCATTCCACAATGAATAAACTGCCTTAGTTTACGTATAACTCCTCAAGAACAGGGAACCTGTCTTACCTCAGTTCGTATCACCAGCTTGTTGCATGGTTCCAGGTACCTATCGCAAAGCAAGTCCTCAAAAAATCTGTGAAATCGAACCAAATTGCACAGACCATGGGATTCTACAATGACATTAGTAATGATGGTGGGGAATGCAAGACCTTCCTTTTAGAGTGTGGACTATGTTAAAAATATGGAGACTTGAGGTTTTTCCCTACAAACAAAAAAGGGGAAACCTAGGCTCATAAGATACAAAGCTTTATAAAGTTATTATTCCTCTGGAGTTAAAAAAAAAATAACTATTATTAAACATATATGCAGTGTATTACATGAAAATGCCTAAGGCTTTCTTTATGCACCACTGTAACCACTGTCTTGATAAACTCAGCACATACAACAGAACAAAAAAGAAACACACATTCATACACACACAGAGACGGAAAGAACATATCCCATCATGATGCCATTACCTTGGGTCTACATTTGGGATACTCATGATCACCTGGGAGCACCTTGAAAGAAATTGGTACCCGATCAGCTCTCCGATTGGCACAGAAGGCATCCCAGACAGCTCGATGGACTGCATTAAAAACTACATCCAGGCCCGTCAGAGTAACAAAGGCCATAGGCCGGCAACATAATTCCACAGGGAAGTCCCACTGTGTGGGGCTCATGTTTACGATGTCACAAAAAACCTGAAATACAAACGTTAATACACTCATAATTCATTTTTTAAAACTAATCTTCATTTCTAATGTATGAGTCTCCATTTAAAAATCATTACCAAAAAAAAAAAATCATTACAAAACCAGGTATGGTGGCTCATGTGTGTAATCGCAACACTTTGGAAGGCTGAGGCAGGTGGATCACTGGAGGCCAGGAGTTCAAGACCAGCCTAGCCAACAAATAAAACCTCATCTTGACTAAAAATACAAAAAAATTAGCTGGGCGTGGCGGCACATGCCTGTAACCCCAGCTACTCTGGGGCTGAGACATGAGAATCACTTGAACCCAGAAGGCGGAGGCTGCAGTGAGCCGAGATCATGCCACTACACTCCAGTCTAGGCAGCAGAGTGAGCCTCTATCTCAAAAAAAAATAATAATAATCATTATAAAAAGGCTTTGAGTATCTGCAAATTGTGAAACAGACAGAACAGAGAAAAAGGGAAAACTTTTTTTTTTTTTGAGACAGAGTCTTGCTGTCCCCAGGCTGTAGTGCAGTGGCACGATCTCAGCTCACAGCATCGTCCACCGCCTGAGTTCAAACGATTCCCCTGCCTCTACCTCTTGAGTAGCTGGGACTACAGGCGTGCGCCACCGTGCCCGACTAATTTTTTTGTATTTTTAGTAGAGACCGGGTTTCACCTTATTGGCCAGAATGGTCTTGATCTCCTGACCCCGTGATCTGCCCACCTCGGCCTCCCAAAGTGCTAGGATTACAGGCGTGAGCCACCGTGCTAGGCCAGGGAAAACTCTAATTCCTGAACTGGACCTATTAAAACGTAGTAACTATATGACATTTAAAAAAAACTTTAATGTTAAAAATGTTGAAGTCAACTTTAAGACAAATCAGTATTTTCAGTAATGTCTCAAAATGTACACAGAAACTTTGAAATTAGCAGACCAAGAAAACAGGAGGATGATTAAATTAAAACAGATCTACATGATCTATTTCAACTGTAAAAGAAAAATATATTGAAAGAAAAATATAAAAGAAAAAAACTGACTTACATATAATGAAACTTCCCCTAATTTCTCTGTAATTGCTAATACTGAATTTCTGAAACATAGGATATTATTAAAATAATAGGCTTTAATTTATTTCATTATCTAAATAGTAGCTATGTTGTCTCATTTCCTACAATATAAAATTTACTATTTAAAGGAAAATCTGTAAGGGAAAAACTAGCAATGAATGGAAACCTCTCAGATGGTATGTTTCCACTGCATTCTTTAGCTAAGAATCAGTCCATAATAAACCTAAAGTATGCTCTGACTTTATAAAAGCAAGTATATAAAACTATGTCTATCCCAAACAAGATTGCCATTATACTTCTAATATAATCTTATTTGAAAAAGGATGTAATAAGGTTCTTTTTTTTTTTGAGACAGAGTCTCACGCTGTCACCAGGTGCCAGGCTGGAGTGCAGTGGCACAATCTTGGCTGACTGCAACCTTCGCCTCCTGGGTTCAAGCAATTCTCCTGCCTCAGCCTCCCGAGTAGCTGGGATTACAGGCACACGCCACCATGCCCAGCTAATTTTTGTATTTTAAGTAGAGACAGTGTTTCACCATGTTGGCCAGGATGGTCTCCATCTCTTGACCTCATGATCCGCCCGCCTCAGCCTCCAAAGTGCTGGGATTACGGGCGTGAGCCATCGCACCCAGTCTGTAACGAGGTTCTTTTAAAAGGTAATCTACACCAGTACATTACAGAGAATCCAGGTCAGGCATAAGTGGCTCATGCCTATAATCCCAGCACTTTGGGAGGATGAGGTACCAGAGGATTGTTGAGGCCAGGAGTTGGAAACCAGCCTGGGCAACATAGTGAGATCCTGTCTCTAAAAGAAATAAAAAAGAAAACAGCTGGGCATGGTGGTGTGCACTTGTAGTCCCAGCCACTTGGGAGGCTGAGATGGGAGGATCATTTGAGTCCAGGTGTTTAAAATTACAGTGAACTATGATTGTGCCACTGCACTCCAGCCTGGGTGACAGAGCAAGATTATGTTGCACACACACAAAAAAAGTTATTCCAAACAAAATTATCACTATATTTTTAATATAATCTTATTTGAGAAAGAGTATGTCATCAGGCTCTTTTAAAAGGTGATCTACACCGTTATATTATAGAGAAGTCGAATATAATCTTTGTGAAAAGTGAGACACACTTAGGCTAATACTTGATTCCAAAACATGGAATATTTTTAACTGAAAGGTTAATTTAGGAAAGACTATTAGGTTTCTCATGTTTAAATACTGAAAGAACAATAGGTATTGAATAAACGATTTACAAAGCTTGCCAGAAATGTCTACAATGGATAGTTTTAGAAGTGTTTAAATATTTTTAGGACAGGATTAAGTTATGAGGACAAAGGATTGCATGTTCAGAGAAAGAAACAGTCTAGTTATGGTCATTTGGGAGTGAAAATTAAAAAGAGGTGACCATACCAGGCTCAGTGGTTCACACCTGTTATCCCAGCACTTTGGGAGGCTGAGGCAAGCAGATCAGGAGGTCAGGAGTTCAAGATCAGCCTGATCAATAAGTGAAACCCCATTTCTACTAAAAATACAAAAATTAGCAGGGCATGGTGGTACGCACTTGCAGTCCCAGCTACCTGGGAGGCTGAGGCAGGAGAATCCCTTGAACCTCGGAGGCGGAGGTTGCAGTGAGCCGAGATGGCGCCACTGCACTACAGCCTGGGCGTCAGAGCAAGACTCCATCTCAACAAATAAAAAAAGAGGTGACCAAAATGCAACACAGGTACCTTTGCTTAATATGAAAGAGTCTTAGACTAGGGGCCATTTCCTGTAATAACTCCAGAGGCCCAAAAGACATTAGCTGTGGTCTTTGAATATGGAGTTGAAATAAGAGGAACTATAAATGTGTCATACAATGGCTCTATGAGCCACATAAATAAATTAAAATTTTCTAGTAGTCATATTAAAAAGTAAAAAGTGGAATTCATTTTAATATTCTAGTTAACCCAGTACAGTATATCCAAAATATTATCATACTGACACTAAAAGTTATCAGTGACATATTTTACCTTCTTTTATACTAGCTCTTCAATATCTGGTGTGTATTTTACGCTCACAGCACATCTCAATTCAAATTAGCCTTTTTCAAATGCTTGATGCAGCTGCTGGCTACAGAACTGGACAGCAGAGATCTAAATTATGGAAAATCTGTCCCAAAATGACTGCATGTAAATTGTATTGGAAATCCTTGCTACGTTCTCCTATGGCACTTGAAACGGTCGTGCTTAATTCTGCAGCAAAGGAATGAGAACAAGAACACCGATACTGCACAGGCGCAGACTGAATGGATCTCAATGACAGCCTGGAAGGAGAAATTTCAGGTATCCTGGAAGAAGCCAATGGAGCAATCAACGAAACGATACAAGAAAGGAAGCGCAGCTATACAAAGTGAATAATGGATGGGAGATGAAGTAGTGCAAGGGACATCAACTGGCAACTAGCGTGGAAAGAAACGTGACCCAATCAAAGCGGCAGCTAAAGAAAGCCCCTAACCGAAAGTGGGTGCTATTTTTTTTTTTTTTTTAATGACCTGGAAGTTCAGCGTGCAGGACACAAGGCTACTAAGAATGGGATTCAGAGACGTCCAACTACAAAACAAGGCGTTTAGATGTTAAAGATGAGAAGTAACAACCCAACCTAGGAAAAACACCGTCCCCGTAGTGGCAGTACCTGCTCTGGTAGTTCCAAGGAGGAAAGGTGGAGAAATAACCTTGCAGTCCCTAAAGGCAGGTATCTTCCTCCTCTTATTCCCCTGTGTTAAGCCTGGGAGGTCCTAGAAACGGGTGCGTCTTTCCTTGGGTCTGAAAGAGAAGCGCCAGGATTGCACCCGTCGACGCAATAGCAAAACGCAGGCCCCCAAACCAGCATTGTTAAGAGCTAGCTCTCTTCCTCGGCGGTCCCGCCTGACCCCGCGGGTCTCCGGGCCCAGACTCACCAAGGCCCCACGCCCCGGGCCCGCTGCAGCTGAGGCCGGTCGCCGCCAGCAGGGACAGGACGAGGGGAGGCGGGAGGCTGTCAGAAAGCCGAGGCCAGTCCCCACCGCCGCAGCCCCGCGGCCAGCTCCAGCAGGCTGGACTTCCCTGTACCCACCTCCGCCGGCACAGGAAGCACTTTCTGGGCCTGAGTGACAGCGCTCTACACCAATCGCTGTCCCGGAATTTTACGCGCTCCTCCTCCAGGCGTCGGGAAGACGCTGCACTTCCCAGGCCCCACCTGCCGCGGCTCGGGTTCCGAGCCCACAGCTCACCGCCGGCGCCCGGGCGCTGCCGAGGCCCAGGGCACGCCCGATTGGCGTCTGCCAGTGCCAAGGCTGTGCTGCCGACGCAGCCGAGGCGCCAGAGGCGGACGCCGGGCCTCGGGGCCGCTGCCCTCGCTTTCTCTTCGTTGTTGCGGACGCCTTCCGCTCAGGAGGCGCCCCGCGACCGGCGCGATGAGTGCCAACGAGGACCAGGAGGTGAGCTCCCCACCCACCCCCGGCTCAGGGCCCTCTCCCGGCGCTGGCGCGGCGCGGAGCCCCGGGCCCTGGTGAGACCTGATGCCCGGACGAGCGGCCCGGCGTGGGTGTCCCGAGTTCACCGGCGTCTCATCCAAGCGCGCGTGAATGGGCAGGAGTCCGCCTCTGCCTCTGTTCCACCCTCATTTTTCATTTTTGCAAACCCGGGAGTCTCCCCAGTTTCCTTAATAACAGGGATGAGCGTCCTTGGTGCACGACCCAGTGCTCTTGGCTCTCCTTGAATCCCATGTATTTAGTGCCTGTTTCCTGAGTTTTGCTGATCACCTTTAAATTTTAGTCTGGTCACCTTTTAATCTCTTGGCTAGTGGAGAGCTGAGTTAGTTACATTTCTGATGGAAGAAAGTGACGCTAGTCGTGCCTCTGGTTTCTGTCCATATTGTTTGCTGAAATCTTTTATCCATCTGTCTGTTTTGAGCATTCATGTACCACTTGAATTTATGTTTCATGCCCAGATATTTCCTTGTGAGTTGCCATTTTGACATGGAATCATGTACCATTAGAGTTGGGCCGGTGCCACAGACCATCTGTAGGGAACCTTCTAACTTTGATAGGTGGGTAGATGAGAAGTCCACAAAAGTAAAGTAGTAGCCCAGGGCCGCACAGTGAGTACGTGGTAGAGTAGGGACTAGCAACCAGGTTTTATTGGGTGGTAGAAAAGTAGTAGTTCACTGTTAATTTAGAATATAATGCTTCACTTTTTTTTCTTTGAGATGGAGTTTAGCTCTTGTTGCCCAAGCTGGAGTACAGTGGCGCGGTCTTGGCCAACCTCCAAAGTTCAAGCAATTCTGCCTCAGCCTCCCGAGTAGCTGGTATTACAGACTTACAGGCATGTGCTACCACGCCCGGCTAATTTTTTGTATTTTTAATAGAAACGAGGTTCCACCATGTTGGCCAGGCTGGTCTCGAACTCCTGGCCTCAGGTGATCTGCCCACCTCGGCCATCCAAAGTGCTGGGACTACCGACATGAGCCACAGCGCCCGGCCCTGAAACTTAATCATTTTTATGTGATAAATGTAATAGAATCTCTGGATTGGAAGTTAACCTTTAAAGGACCCAAAGTCCAACAAGCTAGCTAGTTGATACCTGAATCTCTTCTAAAATGTTCTTGCCAGGTGAATTTCTGAGTCAGTGCATTAATAGCCTTGTCTCCCTGCAAAGCAAAGAACATACAGTCTAATGTTTCTCAGAGTCCACTACCTTAGAACCATTTAGATGGTTGCCAGAAAACTGCTGCCCCCACTCCACCCCAGACCTACTGAATCAAAATGTCTGTGGTGAGCCCAGGAATCTCCACTGTAACAAGAAAATTTCGTTCTTTTTTCAGATGACTGGTGTTCTGATCTTTGAAGATAGATTCCTGCCAAGTTTTTCAGACCTCTTCTCAGATGAAATGATTCTTTTTAGCTTTTCTTCATACATCCATTCTTTAATTTCTTCACTATCCTGGAATCACGTGTCTGTGGACAGATTTGATTTTTTTTAATGCCCTGTTTCAGAGTTGTGGTATCATACTGTTTTGTCTAGTTAAATTTACTGTCAACTAAAACCTTTTAAGTGCTTTACACAAAGCAGTTTGTCTTTCATCTTCTTTTTTTTTTTTGAGACAGAGTCTCGCTCTTGTTGCCCAAGCTGGAGTGCCATGGCACAATCTCAGCTCACCGCAACCTCCACCTCCCAGGTTCAAGCAATTCTTCTGCCTCAGCCTCCCAAGTAGCTGGGATTACAGGCGCACACCACCACGCCTGGCTAATTTTTTGTATTTTTAGTAGAGATGGGGTTTCTCTATATTGGTCTGGTTAGTCTTGAACTCGGCTGGTCGTGAACTCCCAACCTCAGGTGATCCGCCTGCCTTGACCTCCCAAAGTGCTGGAATTACAGGCGTGAGCCACCATGCCCGGCCTTGTCTTTCGTCCTCAACTTTTATATTTAGATATCTAAGTATTAATACAAATTCTACTTACCCTGCTAAATTTCATCATTAGCTTGCTTTTCAAAGACTTTTTGGATTCTTATTCTGCCATCAGCATTATTCATTATCCCAACAAATTATCATCCACAAATTTAATAAACTTGCCTTCTATTTTTGTTCCTGTCTAAATCATTAATTAAAATATAGCAAAGGATTAGGGACAGAAGGAGTAATACTGTATTTTGAGTAAGGTTGTTTGTTCCAATCTAATCTTCGATATTTCTTGAATCCAGCTTGAATTTCTGTATTTTTTTTTTTTTTTCTGTAAAGGTAGCAAGGGAAACTTGTGGAGCCTTGCTGAAATCAATATAGTCTGTATTTTATGCCTTTCTTCATTGTGCCAATCAAGTTTCCCTTTCTAAGAAGGGTATTTCTTGTTTTCCATATGCTTCCTAGGTCTTGGGGACTATTCCTTACTCTCCCAGTTCCTCACACACTATTTCTCTAATAATTTCTTTTTGCTGCTGTTGTTGTTGTTGAGATGGAGTCTCGCTCTGTAACCCAGACTGTAGTACAGTGGCGCGATCTCGGCTCACTGCAACCTCCGCTTCCCGGGTTCAAGCGATTCTCCTGTCTCACCCTCCAGCTTAGCTGGGATTACAGGTGCGCATCACCACGCCTGGCTAATTTTTGTATTTTTAGTAGAGATGGGGTTTCACCCTGTTGACCAGGTTGATCTCTAATTCCTAGCCTCAGGTGATCCGCCTGCCTCAGCCTCTCAAAGTGCTGGGATTACGGGCAAGAGGCACCACGCACGCGCAGTGGATTACAGGCGTGAGCCACCACGCATGCGCAGCCAATAATTTCTATTCTAAAATTTTGACCGTAGATCAAGCCCACTTTCACCGTCTTTAGTTTGTAGAGTTCTTGAAAATTCAAACGTGGACCCAAGTGCAGTCTTTCTTCTTTTCTCAGATAGTCATCAGTGATCGCAGTGATGAACTTCTCAGTCGTAATACCAAAATGTTCTAAGAACAATGCCCAAGCAAGGATTACTAGTTACGTTTTCTCTGACAGTCCTTGATCTCATCTTGGGTAGATACTTGTCAACCTTTTTCTTAAAGTTATTTTTCTTGCCTTTAGATGTTTTTTAAACCTTTGTATCACTCTATGGGAAGGATTACAAATAAAAGGAGTGGATGTAAATAATAGGAAAGTATTGTTTTTTATAGTTCTCATCTCCAGGTTTAATGCTCTTTACACCCAGGTTCCTCTTTAGCAGAGTGCTAAGAGCACTTGCTCTGGAGTGGCTTAAACTGAGACTTCTTGCCTCCCTAGTAGGAAGTAGAAAATAATAGGACCTCTTGACAGGGTTGATTTGAGAAGTCAGTCCAATAATACATTGCATAATCTTAGCAGTGCCTGACATAGAGTTTTAAAGTATCATTGGTAGTAATATTGCCATGTGTGCTGAATGCATGTATACGGTAAGTATCTAAGCATGTGTAAGTTAGTCAAGTTTTACACAGTTGAGTAGGTTTGAATGAGAAAGTAAAGACCCTCTATTTCTAATTCATTTGTACCACTAAACAAAACTCATTCAATTCTTTATTTCAGATGGAACTAGAAGCATTACGCTCTATTTATGAAGGAGATGAAAGTTTCCGGGAATTAAGTCCAGTTTCTTTTCAATATAGGGTAAGACATGGCATGAATAAGAGCACTTACAACTTTGCTAGAAAAGACTAAAAGTGGCTAAAAATGCTTATTTTGTTTTCTAAACTTGTGTAAATTTATTATGTCTGTATTTTCTATAGCATTTAAACGGAAACATCACCCTAACATCAGTCATTTTTAATGTTTGAAAACTTAATTCAGAAACTTTTTTTTTTTTTTGAGATGGAGTTTCGCTCTTGTTACCCAGGCTGGAGTGCAATGGCGCGATCTCGGCTCACCGCAACCTCCGCCTCCTGGGTTCAGGCAATTCTCCTGCCTCAGCCTCCTGAGTAGCTGGGATTACAGGCACGCACCACCATGCCCAGCTAATTTTTTGTATTTTTAGTAGAGACGGGGTTTCACCATGTTGACCAGGATGGTCTCTATCTCTTGACCTCGTGATCCACCCACCTCGGCCTCCCAAAGTGCTGGGATTACAGGCTTGAGCCACCGCGCCAGGCCCAGAAACTTTTTAAAAACCAGGATAGGGCTGGGTGTGGTGGCTCACAGCTATAATCCCAGCACTTTGGGAGGCCAAGGTGGGTGGATCACAAAGTCAAGAGTTCAAGACCAGCCTGACAAAAACTCTGTTTCTACTAAAAATACAAAAGTTAGCTGAGTGTGGTGTTGCGAGCCTGTAGTCCTGGCTACTAGGGAGGCTGAGGCAGGAGAATTGCTTGAGCCTGAGGGACAGAGGTTGCAGTGAGCAGAGATTGTGCCCCTACCCTCCAGCCTGAGCATCAGAGTGACAGTCCATCTCAAAAAAAAAAAAAAAAAACCAGGATAAACTTGTTTTTATTGTACCAGAATCATAAGACATTAGAAATGGAAAAAAACCTTAAAAATTATGTAATCCTATCTTTAACATAAAATAGTAACCGTATTTTATTTTGTAAATAAGTCATATAAACCTTTTATTCAAATGATCATAAGTAGCCCGGGCACGGTGGC